GCTTAAAAACTTAAAGAACTTTGCCAAATTTTGTAAAATTAAATTCTAGAATGCGTTTTTAGACAAAAATGTTATACCTAGTACTAGCTGACCTGGCATATTAATGATCAAAGAAATCAAATCGCGACTAAAAAATGGTGGGGTGGAGGTAGGAGGGCGAAAAATTGTCATACCTACCAAATATACAAAAAGCCTTTAAAATCGGTCGAGCCGTTTCGGAGGAGTGTGACCACAAACACCGTGACACGGGTATTGATGTATTAGATTCTTAACTATTCGTGGACATTACAATAATATACCTATATTTCTTTCTATACGAGATGGAATAAAGAGTTACATTACTAGTGTAGGTATATTAAAAAATATTTCGTCAAAAGCTTTGCAATTTTTTTTTAGACCAATGAATAAATCTTAGATTATTTACACAGCATTCGTCACCAAAGTTCTTTATATTAAATTATTAACAATATTAAAAGTAAACGTAATAATAATACAACGAATTAAAAGGTATTATTCGCTAATATTATTCGTTAAAATTGTTTTTAAATCTATCATCATCATCAGACTTTTCAAACTGATGCAAAAAAATAAATTCATAGACTATATAAAGCGTGTAAAAATAAGACGCCATAAATTGATAAAAGATAATAAATAACTAGGAATATGCGCATTTAAACAGTTATACAAACATTATTAGATTAATTCTTAAGCAGTGAATAAACAAGTCACAAATAAGTATTCAGAATATCGATGAATCGAATTAATTACTTTAATCACTTCGTTTCAAATGTATAAAAAAGTCGTTGTATGTTTTCGTCTACATATAGCGCGATATTAGTGAGGTATACAGAAATACACATGCTCGATGCCTGGAATTCTTACTGCGTTTGTTCGCCTCAGGGTCGTAGTATTAAATTATGCGTGGCGTAGCTATATGTTTATCTAAAATAGCAACAATTGCTACAGAATTTACATATGATTTTATAGTTCAAATGCTGTAGAGATCTATATCTATCAACAGTTAATAACACATTGATTTTTATAAACTATTCAAATTTACTAGCTTTATTAGTATATTCATTATTAAGTTAAAGTTTAGTAAAATTTATCGACTGCGTTAGGTACAACTAAATGCAGCGTGAAATACGAATGTCGAAATACAAATACGATGGCAAATGATTCACTATTGGTGTTAGGCACAAACACGTGCAAGTGAAATATGAGATAACACTCACTGTTTTAAATTGAAGAAAACTGACATTAGACTATAACATACTTGTAACAATGCCATTTATTTAAATAATAAATTCTTACATCCATATCACTTGCAAACAATGTTACAACCACTAATAGGTATTTAAGAAATTACATACTCTTAGTATCACTGAAAAATCGTCTGCTTGTCGATTTTTATGTGATTTACTTTGAGAACTATGAATATTTGTGTTTGTCGCCATTCCTTCATTTGGCAAGAAGACACAGACAGATGGTTCCATCCTTACATTGTATTCTCTATTTTTTCTGAAAATTATAATCCTGGAACCTATAAGAGCAGAGATCAATCTCAACCAAAATGTATACCACCTTCGTCGTCACAAATTTCAGTACACAAAATTAAAAACCCTGAATAAACACTTACTTGAAAATTTTAAAATGTGCACCTTGATTGTCTACTGACAAATTACAGTTTAAGACTAAAATGGTTGTATATATTTTGGTGCGTATCTATTTCACTATTGATTTCGGTAATAATCAGGCACTTATGAGATTGATGGAGCACTTTCATTTAAGTTACAAATTATATGATTGGTTTGTCAGTTGTTAGCCCAGTAGACGCTGCCTATAATGCACTGTTCCCTTGCTCATTTGGTTACATAATACTTACGAGTATTCTGCTACGCTAAGTGTACAGCTGCAGCTGTTAGCACTATTATAAATTAAACTATGTATGTCGAAACAACGGCTCCTCATTTTCTTGAAACCGGTGATGTTCGGTTCTCTACGTTCGCGACCTTATTATTTTGCGCTTACAAACATTGGATTCTATACTGAGCATTTGAATTGTAAACGTGCAAAAGGATATGGTTATGTATGACGAGCGACGGCATGAACCGTTCTTATCAAGAGTTTGAAGGTCTCGATAGTATATATGCGCGGGCCCACAAATCAGTTATTAATAAACATACCTACAGCATAACTATAAACCTATTTTTTACTAAATGTTACGGAGATGTTATGTGTTTTGGTACTAGTTCCTTTAAAACTGTTGTTTACTGGTAACCATATGATTCTTCGTTCGTTTTTTGTACTCTATTTTCGTATTTCCTGCTTTTATGACGTGTAGTGAGAAGGTTCGCTGACGAATCAGTCCACCGAGAAGGCGGGGCCTGCGCGTCACATAATATACAGAAACAGATGCGACCACTCTTCAGTTCTAATTTGGTGACGTGCGGGCGATTGTTCGCTGGCAAGCTTTGGTACTGGCTACGAAATCCTAACGACACCACTAGCATCAAAAGTGATTGTAGAAGTTCTGCGTCACAGTCTCATTGATAGATTCAACAAAGAAAATATACGTACCTAGATGTTTACATTCGATCTTGGTATCCTAGCCTTGGTTGATTTAAAAGCGATATCTGTTTAATTTTGTAAATTTATTTATCAGTTCATTAATGTAGGTCTCTTCTTAACACCCTCGCTGACTTGTCAGATCTGAGTTAGTGTATGAAAATTATAAATGTATCATATTAGCTTATGTATACTTTCATCTGATTTACATATTCATTTGATACTACTAATTTACAACTACTTGGTTTATAAGCAGTTTTACAATTCTACTCTGACAGGAACTCTTGTCCAAGCAAATAAAAGAGCATCATTGTACCTTTTTATTTAGGTTACTGACAGTGCACAATAAATATAATTATTTAAACACGTATGTTGAACTCATTAACACTCGGAGATTTAGTTCTATTAAGCTATTAAACAGTATTTATCGTTAAACTTACGCAATTAGCTTTTTGTTAAGCTTTAATACTTGAATAACTATATCTCTGACGACTACATTGTATATTGTAGTAATATGTCATAGACGTTTTATTGACACTAAACATGGCACTAACTGAACTGTGCTTAATTGTATGAGCACTTTGAGCTATCAAATGTTTAACGCCCGCGCTATCGGCGTGTAAATTGCTAAAACTGCATTAGAAATGCACATTCACATACAATGTCGTACTTTTGTAAGTCTTGTATATATGTATAACATCTTGCGATCTATAGTTTCGTGTGTAGTTACGTGTTACGTATGTGCAATACGTACCAAGAAACTATATTAATTCACTTCGCTGTGCTACGTACATTATACAGTAGATAAAGGATTTTTGAAGGAACGTGTGTCTGTATTATTTTTGACTTAAGGTCCTAGTAAAGTATAGCTTTTAATTTTAGTATAGCGTTTAGTTTTAATTTTAAAATCGGTTTAAAATCATTTAAAACAATTGTCGTGATGCAATAAAAACACTGTGTTGCATTATAAGTACGACATCAAGGTAAGTACATGGTACCACATCGTATATTGTTCAATCTTTACATAGTATAAAAAAGTCGCTTTTTTGTGTCGCTTTTGAACTAAGCAACGGATTTTAATGATTTATATGTACAATACATGCATATCATAGTAGAGAAAATCCGAGAATTTCAAAGATTTGTCGTAAAAAAACTTGTTCTTGTGCGCTTACATTACAAACGCATGCTAAATCTTACAACATAGACCAAAATAATGTACTACGGAATTGTATATCTTAAAAAGATCTACAAAAAAGTCTGAAATGGTATATGTCTATCTCCTAAGGATAACCAACGGTAACCCTTTTTATCTTTTAAATATTACAAAAGAATAATGGGTTATTTATGAAGCTATTTTAAACATTACTATTCCTTATCCAATTAAATATGTTGCTTATTTAATGTATATTAAAATGAATATTTATTTAAAATATTAGAGGTTTAAAATGCGGGGGCCCAAGGACCGTCTGCCGGTGGCAGCGGCCAGATCGGAGCGGGCCTATGAATATTGCAATCAAAGACAATACTACTGGACATCTTCTGTAGTAAAATCCTATCATAATAATGTAATAAATAATTACTCCACACTGACACCACATTAGTAGTATTAGTAGTATCTACATTTGCACCCGTGCGAAGCCGATCTTATAAACTATTATAATTACGACAACGTCTACAAATATGAAAGCGTTTATACTCATAACTATATAATATAACAGTAGGCATGTAAATATTTACTAAGATGTTTCTATCAAGTATTAGCTTGAGATCTAATTGACTATATGATAGATCGTACTTAGTGTTGTGTGTGTTTATTTCTCACCTTTTTTTTTTTTTTTTTTTTTTTTTTTTTTTTTTTTCCGTGCGGAAATCCCCTCGGATCCCACCTGTCGGTGGCATGTCGGTGTTTATTTCTCACCTACGCTTATTTAGTGTTGATTGTATTTTTCTACCAATACTTTGAAGGAACAGTCCGGTTTCGCATAATAATTGGCAAAATAATTGATTAATGAAATAAGACAAGTAATCAACGATTTGATGTCAGCAATAAAGTATTTTTGTTCATATTCATGTGTATACATTTATTTTACCTAAAAACACCTAAAATGAAAATCGATTTTATGGGTATTATAATTTATCATAAGGAGTCACAAGAAGATTATATGCTTTAAGAATACAGACATCTTAGGTACAAAGGGTTATATAGATCTTAACTAATTTATTTTGGTACGCCCTGGGCTAAATTAGTGAAGGACAGTTACTAAGACAGCGGGTTTAGTTCAAAAATACTATTATAATGTTTTTGAATGATGTCTACTGGGCATAGTTCCAAACATAATTTGTCAAGAAAAACTATGTAACGAAAACCTAAAAATGCTATCCGTGTTAATACAAGGTCAATAGTGAGAAACTTACCTATGTATTTGTTACAGGTGGACAGCGGCGGCGGTGGCTCGGCTGAAGTGATGGTGTACTCTCTCGGCTGGGGCATGGGCGAGCCGGAGCGGCGCGGCGCGGAGCGAAAGCGCGCCCAGCCGCCCACCATCAGCGTCGTCCACGCACCGCTCTCGCCCGATGACGGTCATGAAGTAGACGTCCTACCTCTCCATAACCAGGTTATTATACTATATATTTACTACTGTCTGTCGTGAAAGTATCAGTATTAGTAGTATCTAATAAGCATTCTCAAAGTTATATAAACACAAAGTTAAATAAGCTGGAGTTGACATGTTTGTTCTTCTCTGGTTGTCAGATTGTTTAGGCTGTTCCGAAAACGGTTTTTTTGTACCCTCATTGATAAGATTAATTTGACAACAATACTAAAAACATATTTGAGCTCTAACTTAGTTAATAATTATGATGTAGACGTGTACATACATCTTAAACTTAAATGTTGACTTTGATAAAATCTAAAATACCGTAAATTGAACTCGTCGAAATGAACGGCCCTGTCAAATTAGCCCAAATTCGAAGAGTTGATAAGTAGATACTGTAGACTTCTATTATCTACTTCTGAGTCCATCATTAGATCAGCCCAAAGAAGATAAATTATAGTAATGGCAACCGAACTACATAAATCTACTAAGTTTCGATTCGATACGATAATAAAAAAATAAAAAAATTGATATCTTAATGTTTTTAGTGTATAGTGCTTAATATTTGCACATTATTAGTTAGTTTCAAGCGAAGCTACTGTTACTAAAGTGTCAAAAAGCGGTATGTGTAAGTGTAATGTTCTTTTGACTTTAGTTTCTGCTGATAATCTTATCTACGTTTGATAATTCCACATTATTTTTCCACATCTTTGGCCACAAAATACAGTTCAAGTGCGGTTATTAATTCAGCCTTATAATAACCGGCTGTTTAATACGATGCCACAAATGTATTTTCCTTCCTTGTATAGTTGGTAAGTGCTCATGTTAAGGCCTTCCTACGGTTGATTGCAACCGTCACAATCATATTCGTACATATATCTTTGTTTTATTACTTCTGCTGTTAATGTCATGCCTATGTGTGTAAACTTCTTTTAAATAGCGGAATGTAAGGTTGCTTTTCTTATATACTATGGTGTAAAAGATCCAAAATCAAGTAATAGGTTTAGCTAGATTATACAATAGAGTTAAACACACGCTCTTAAATGACAATCACATGATTCCCAGCGGGAAATTCATGAGAAAACTCTTTGATATATTGATATTGAGCATTTCGTTGTTGGTATGACGTACACGAATGTACAATATGTAGTGCACAAGTGATGGTCTATCGTCCGGAACCTAGCGGAAGGATATTATTTAGCGTACTTTGTTAATGCCGCGTACGTGCCTTGACTAGCGACTTAGCCTTAGCAGTCCATTGTCTCTTTCAAATAGGTATATTGCTTCCTTTATTCCATAAAATCAAAATGTATGCATTTTATACCCAAATGTACTAATACTTCCTCAAGACTGTTGTAATTATTATTTAAGTATCAGTATAAGTATTAGTAAGTATCGTGCTGCCGATTGTAAATATTGTAAAGAAACTAGATTGTAATTGAACTTATTAAATTCACTGGTTGTATATTTTAGTTTTTGAAAGATTTAAGTTGCGACAATGAGACCTCGAGACCTGGCCTGACGCAGCGAAACAGCTCAGGTCAGGGATTCCCAAACTATTTTGGGCAAGAGACCCCTTTTCTAAAATGAACTGATACCTTAGACCCTCCTAGCCAAATTACTGAACGCTTATCGACTTGTTGAGTCTTTTTAAAGTACAACAATGATTTTTCCTACTAAAGCATTAGTCATTCTTATAACAAGTTGGTATACGTAACACAACTAATACAGTAGCTTGAAAGTTTCAAATGAATACAAATAAGAACTTGTGTTAATTAAAAGGGGTGGATTTTTAGACCTCGTTGACCACCAAAAAATTTTCGTTTATGTCGACCCCTTGGAAACCGATTTCGCGCTTTGGGAATCCCTGGCCCAGGTTATCCGTACCTCGCCTGCATTACACAGCCATACTTTTTACATTATTTTCTCACTCGCAAGTAAATCGATCAACCAGTGCATGCGTACTGCACCCGCGTTGCGTGTAACATGCATCGCTGACTACTACGTGCCAAATTAAACAGCTTAAACATAAACAGTCCATTGTTCATTAAATACATAAATAAGAACAAAACACGGCGGACACACTTACCTATTATTGTAACCAAGTTTACAGTTGTATTGTGATTAGTTAATGAAAACGCATTAATCCCTTACCGAAAGTGAAAACTCATAAAGGAATGGCTTAGAATTTCACTTTTTCATTTAGTTATAACTAAAAATAAATAATAACCTAGACAGGTAGTGTTAAAGTAAAACAATTTATTGTTTTCCTATAGTTTATTATTTTATTGAAACCTCCTACTACCAAGCTAGTTTATGATATATATACTTAAGTGATGTGAGAAAATAATACTTTACCTATAAAGATAAGTTTTAATATAATATATATTTTACTGTCAATTTATAACTGCATGCATATGCAAGCCGCTTCAGCATTGAGTTTGAGTCGGCGCGCGGCGTCTAGCGCTCTCATACATCATTAATCATGACCAATCAAATGACTCATAGTCAGACATATCACTGTTCTCTATGTTTTGTTACAGTTAGGGTTGTCAACTGGGAAAATTTGCGTTGGGAGGGTTTATTTGGAACACACTTTTTCTTTACTTACGTATAAAGCCAGGGTAGAAACAGTAACGTAAGAATTCATTGCTTCCTGTTTATGCCTAAAATGTAATGTATGGCTAAATAAATAAACATTGCATCTGCAAAAAAAAAAAATGCTTTTTAATGAAACCATGGCAAAATGGTCTTGAAATATTAGGAATATTTCAAGACTGCAATTTTTATAAGGGTCGCCATATATCGCCACTATATTAATATTAAAGATGTCAAATAGAATTTGATTGATCTGTTAACTATAGCAGGATAGACAGGGATTTTGCTTTCTGCAAAATCAGCGATTAAGGTTTTAAGGATTGCAAGACTACAGGGAGTCTTCTTAATGACATTAGTAAATTACATTGTTTAACCTATAACTAACAGTTTTTTACGATTGTTGCCTTCAGGTTGGAGGTCACACCAGACTGCTGGTGTTAAATGACAGTACAGTAATCAAGCCGCTTAATATACGCGAGCTGCATTTTTACCAGAACATTCCTGAAGATATCCAGAACTTTGTACCCAGATACAAAGGTGAGCATTTTATTCCCTTGTCCTTTTGGAGACAAATCAATGCCCGCCCGGTACGCTTTTATGATTCGCTGAATGCATCATGTTCATTCATTGCATCTTACATTATTACCTATTACAATAATTATATTAAGCGTTTTATTTATAATTCAATTGTGTTGTTTAATATGTTTGCATTTGAAGCACTAAGGAAGTTGTTTATAATCGTAAAATAAGTAAGTTTTTATCAGTTTTACTACAGCCCTATTCTTTTAATAAGGTTTACGAAACAAATATATATTTGTTTGAAAACGTTTCGTAATATTACAATACGTGGTAAATTTATTAAAAAACATTTTTATCATTTGCGTCATTTTCTACTTTAGATAATATTTAATCTAATAAAATCGCAATAAGATAACCATAAAGCTGTGAAAATAATAAAGGACATTGATTTCACTTAAATGACTTTCCTTATTGCTTGATATCGTAACAATCATTTTCCAATTGTGTTTTATGTATGTATGATAGAGATGAGTGCATGTTGATATTATGCAAACCCGCCGACCGCAAGATTTAAAAAAAAGATATGCAACTATATGTATCTTAAATATAGCAAAATGTTATAGGTGTGATGTAAAAGTGATATCGTTGTTGTCGATTAGATAGTCGCCATAAAATGTTTAAATCTACCTACAGATACATAAACAGCAAACAATTTGGTAAGTATATTTTTATGTTAAAAATATACACGTAACGATATTTATCATATGAAAAGATAATTTTGAATTTCAAGCAATTTGTGATGGCATCTTAGACAATGGTGATATTTGATACATAGCTACATGAATTTTTTCAGTAGGTATTAAGAGGCCATCATTAAAAAAAAAATGAAATAACAGCTTCTATAGCATAAATGAGTCTGACATTATAAAATTATAAAGAATTTGGACATAACAGGTTTCGTAGAAGAGTGGTGCACAATATGGCAATATATTTTTATTCTAGCTTTACCGAAGCAATTTTGGATCTCACATTAGCCTAAGGTACTTTTATACATTCCTATTGATCACATTGTGCACCATATAGTATTTTATTGAACTTTTACTTTGTACACTGTCTTAGAAGGGCATGCAACTATTCATAATATTACAAAATGTTTATTAGCTTATTGTTTATTTCGTTTTCAAAGTTTTTTTTTTCATGCAATGAGAAACTTATCAATGAATTAATGAAAGTTTTGTCATAAGAGAAAATCTCTTTAATTTCATAGATCACTGATAAGACGCTCTGTTCCAATTAGTGAAATATTAGTGTAAAAGTTCAATGTGTATATAAACTTGTAGTTGCAACAATCTGTGCACGGATACAATGTATACGGACGGAGTATGTGACACGTTACAAAAAGTAAAAGTTCAATGTGTGTAGCGCCACTTGGATAGCAGTATACGTATATATGTTAAGTCAGAGGTTGATGGCGTGCCTCGCATAGGCGCGAACGCGGCGGGCGGGTTTGAATGCGAGCGAGCGAGCGGGTGCGGGCCTGGGGTCAGGAACACAATATTAGTTTCCTTGTTGTCGCAAGGGCTGCGGCGCTGCGGCGAGCGGAGCGACGCCGGACGCGGCACCACACAACCGCCCCTAATAGCGCCCTAGCGGTAATTTTACATTTTGGGTTTGTAAACCTTTACTTAAAACTACACCCACACCACACATATCTACACACTCGCAAAAACGCGCACACATACATGCATTGTTTACTTACAACAGTATCAAAATAGTTTGATCACATACACAACTACCAGCACAGTTACATGCTCCATGAGACACCATACAAAAGATATACAAACCCTTTTTAAAAACAATGTAACCCTCTTTCCACTTCCTCATCAATATAATGTTGGCAACTTGCACTCTAGTAAGTTAATATTGAAATTATGTAGATAGTGGATAAAGTAAACTCATTGTGTGTCCCTATGTCGATCCATTCTCGTACATACTGGCCAGCTTCGGGGTCGACACCCGGCTGGGGATATTTTGAGTTCTAAATCTTCTATCGTTTCACATGTTTCATTCATTAATAAGAAAGTGATGTTTTTTTTTGTTTTGTTACTGCAGTTCAAAAAATGTTTTGAAGTTTAATCAGTGCTATACTATACAATAGTGTGGTTGTGTGTACTAGCGAACCGTGTACTGATTGCGAGGCCGTTTGTTTCAGGCGTGATGCAGGCATCTAACACTGGTGGCCCCAAATTGGACAAACGCTACTCTCCTTGTTTCCGCGACGAGAACGGGCGCAAGCAATCACTGGGCGGCAAGCGCAAGCGCGACGATGTATTCAAGTGCGTATCCGCGCGTCTCGCGGCACGCGGCCGTCACTCCTCGACACTTGTCATGTGTCCTTTATCATATTTCAGAAGCTTTGACGTACGCCGGCCCGGAAACCGACGTCGCCATTAATTCATTCGATCGCAATACTTACATGACTATCCCACTAACGCGTGAGCGATGCACGACCCATACACACTCTTCGTGTCCCCGATGACTTGCGTCGTGGAGTCGTGGTAATGATACTATTTGATTGAATGTAACAATATAACAGATAACCACAAATCTGTGTTTCATTAGCTCCTAAAGTATGATTATGTGTCGATCGTAGCTTGGTGTGAACATTAACCAAATACTATAACTATAGTTTTCTTTTTGCAGATTTAAGGTACACCGGAACGGCAATGCGAGCGACGTCCTAAAAAGTATTGCACACATAGACAATACAAATAAGCAGTGTAAGTTTATTAATACTTTCTTCTTCTTAAGTACTCTTTGCTTTCAATAACTGTATGACCATGTGATGATGACATGACTGAATGATTTCATGGTTATCAATATATATTTCATGTATTATTTATGTATGTATATGTATGGATAGTTATAGATATTTATATATATTTATTTTTATACTACTGTAGTTTCATTACACCTAGACTACCCATTGTTTCTTCTCATATATTGTCGATTCGTCCATCCAAAAATAAGCCTGTAAGAGATTGCTTTTAGCGATAAGGCCGCCCATTGTACATATCCGTCTGTAATATTTATCTAACATATTGTAATTGGTGTACAATAAAGAATATCATATTCTGTTCTTATTACTTTTTTAAAACCTCTTTATGTATTTATATAACTTAATGCACAAGTTGTACACAGGCGGACTTAATGCCCAGGGCATTCTCTGCCAGGCGACCTTCGGGTGATGTAGAAAAATGATGTGGTAGGTGCAAGAGAAAACATATTTAGTAGCTTAAGTATTAAAAAATACTTATATTTTATAGATTACCTGATGATGGAGAATATAACATCGTCGTACCGACGGCCGTGTGTCCTCGATCTGAAAATGGGCACGCGACAGCACGGTGACGACGCTTCCGCAGAGAAACGCACAAAACAGATTGCCAAGTGTGCGGCGAGCACCTCAGCTACGCTCGGTGTTAGGTTGTGCGGAATGCAGGTGCGGATATACTGTTATTAAATTCTGTTACTTCTTCTTGTTATTATGGTGGAATCAAATAGACTGAAAAAATGTACTTTTAGGAATGACCGGCCGTTCTGAAATATAGTATGTTACGTTACTTTCGAAAGACCAAAGATCAAAGCATGATTTTGGCCTCATATCTGCGAAATAATAGAAAAGGATCTCTCTCTCTCACAGTTTTACATTGTTTGTTGATGAGTTGGTACGCAAAGAAAATGACAATTTGAAATGATACACGGTCCGCACGCAAAATCCAGAAATCTCAGTTAAATTTATTCATGGAATTAGATTAGGTCAGGTTTTGTATTCCTCGATATTACTTTTAAATAAAGGAACAATTTAGTTAAAATAGTATTAACTAACGAAAGTTAACTAGACTATTTGTCAACATATAGGTATACGAGGCAGAAACAGGCGCGTGTGTGCGGCGTGACAAGTACTGGGGGCGCGCGCTCACGGAGAGCGGACTGCGAGAAGCGCTGCGCGACTTCTTCGCGGCCGGCAGCGCGCTGCGCGTGCGGGTCGTGCGGCGCGTGCTGCGCGACCTGGACGCCCTGCGCCGCGCTATCGCCAAGCAGACCAGCTACCGATTCTACTCATGGTCAGTATCATCGGTACTACGTTAGCTCTGATATAAATAATATATAGTTTTCGCTTACCGTTTTTTCTATGCTTTTTTTATTATCTTTTCTATTGCACTATATTGACACTTAAATTTCTGGCTGCAGTTCTTTATTAATAGTCTACGAGGGAGACTTGTCCAGCACGCTTTCGACGGACGAAGCCAGCGGCGTGAGCGAGTACGACGGCGACGCGTCGAGCAGTTCGACCGAGTGTGCGCCGTCACACTTCGACATGTCCACGTTACACGACGAAATCACGTCCGACTCGCCGGGTCGCGAGCCTTTCAGACCGCATTCCGAGGAGACGATGGGCGGCTACGAGGACGGCGAGGTGGCCGGGAACTCGCCACGGCGCCAGCCGCCCAGCCCCGACTCGGCGGACAGCTGGATGGCGTACTCGTCCACGTCCAGCGAGTCGTGGCGCGGCGAGGCCGAGGCGAGCGCGGAGGCGACGGAGGCGAGCGGCAAGCGCGCGCGCACGCGGGACGGCTGGGCCGCGCCGCGCCTCGCGCCTGTGGCGGCCGACGAGCGCATGGACGTGCGCATGATCGATTTCGCGCACACGGCCTTCGCCGGCGCCGCGGCCGAGTCGCCGCTGGCCACGGCCACGCCGCACCACGGGCCCGACTGTGGTTTTCTCACCGGCATCGACAGTCTCAAGCGCCTGCTCACTGAAATTCTGCCCCCGCAGCCCTACAGTTAATGAGCTGCTCGTCGGCCCGAGAGGGCCTCCCCTTAGAAAAACGTTAAAATTCCCCTCCTTTCGGACGAAATTCTGGGCGAGCCGCAATAATTTCGGACGCTCCAGTGTTGGGGCGACGCGTGGCGACCGCCCCGCGGTGAAATCTTTCGGATGTACGTTTTGTTCGCCGACTGTGAGTTTCGATGTTGTTGAAATGTATATTATATTTGAATGTAAAACTATTTTCCTCAAAAATTTACCGTTCGACTGATGTAACTTTAAAAGTTGACAAATTAACGAATCACTGTGCGCTTACATAAAAAGGATGTACGCAGGGTATTTTCAATGTATACGTTAGTCGAACGTCGAGCGCGTGTCTATTGATTTCTTTTTATGTGAGTGCCTAGTGGTTATCGCACTTAGTGAATGTTGGCGGTACAAACTATGTTATTTTATGATAAAGCTATTTTAATTTGAAGTGGGACCCAGTAGGTATTCATAATAAAATATGTATTTATAAGTATTACTATTAAGTTATTCCAGATTGACGTGCTTTGAGTTGTTTCTCATAGCTTAATATTTGAGTTCTGTGCGAGTGCTTCATCGATGTGATTCATTTTGAAATTGACATTAGACATTCCCCGGATTGGTGATAACAATATTCCTTAAAACGTTAATTTGGCGTGATGAACATAGCTTGTTTTCTATTGTTTCTAAGACTTTAATATAATTTTATATAAAGGAGTTTTCCATGACTGTATATTGTTATATATGTCTAGTTAAATTACACAAACCACACCCAGTCACTAAAGCCAAAGTAGATTTAGAATATTAAGGCCTGATATTTTATAATCCTAAATTAAATTAAAACAAAGTTGCCGTTTAAAGAGAAAATAGTTATGCATCGTCTGCCACATTCGAAAGTGAATGTAAATTTTACAAAATAAAAAAACAACTTAAAGAATGGCTTTTTGTTTTCTATTTTAGATATATTTAGTTAACATGGAACATGTGACACATGTTTCCATGCGCTAATATTTAAGTATGGTGCACAGTTTTGACAAAATCAAATGGATTTTAGTTCCGCTAACAGTATTATGAAGTTGTAGCTACCGGAGTTAGAGACTTATTGATTGGATACAGTATTACAATCTTGTCTGATTGTGAATCTGTATGTGGAAATTTGTAACATGGTACCAGTACGTAAATGTTATGCCGAAGGTTGTAATGGATCTAACGAATTAGACTATTTAATATTACGAGTTGAGTATTGCAAGTGGGTCAGTGTAGACAGCTAGTTTCGTACATATGAGCGGTGAATGTGTGAACACTAGCGTTAGCCAACATTCCTTCGTGCTGTATTCGTAATTGTTTGTCCTTTTACTTTATTATTTTTTGTTAGTGGGTAAATTTTTGAAAAGTACCTGGTTTATTTAGTATGCTAGGTTGTATTGCAAACTATCATTTATGTCTGTTATTTTAAATAACTGTATGACACTATTTTGTTAAATAAATTTTAGGTATTAATATGAGACTTTTATTCTTATTAATTAAGTTTAAGGTATTTGCATATCTTTATCGTATTATAAGTTAGTATTTTGGCTTACGCCTCAATGACAATTTTAAAGTTCACAATTACCATAACGGGTATTCCATTGCAAGTCTTTCATGTAGTCATTGGTTTTTTTTAAATATCTACTTACCTGTATTACATTTACTTGTTATTTGGGTATCGGAATGAACAAGTTTATAATTTCACAACAGCCTTGACAGAAGATCGATCGATAAAATATGTTGACCGAGGACTACTAACGACAGGAACTAGTGAACCGAAGACAGGAAAGCTCAGACAAGGATTGATTTTTTGTAAGTTTTTACTTCGTAGACCTAGAGACCCTACAAGAAAGGCCACCAATAACATTAATTGTATTACCAAGCGATGATCTGTTTACATCACGACTTGTCGGTTACCATGTCTAGATAATGGAGAATTAGTCGCCGATTGCGCAAGATGATAGATGATGATAACTCTATTGTAGATATATAGGAGTATGCAGAAGGTATAGCATATTAAAACAATGCCGCGTAATGTGTCTCTTACGATATATATTAACGAGGGATGGAATAAAAACAATCACATGTGATAAATCATATGATTTAAAAATCATTGCATTCCACCTGTGACTGATTTACAAAAGCACTGCTACTTATTATTACGCTTCCGCAACATCATATTGAAAATCGGTTAAAACTTACTTAGACTACTTTTTTTAGTGCTGTGATGGCCATTGGGTATGAATACTTAGGTAGTTTCTTTTTTGTATCGGTAGCTTACAATTATGATTAAAACCAGGGATGTTACAATATCTCAAATAAAAAGACATTTCATTTGTTAACTTATTAAAAACTCAAAGAGAACATGAGTCAACTGGCATTTGACAAAACATTGTTTAGAAAAATGTATCCAAACTATAACGGCGAGGTAATCATTTTATCATGATTACCTCGACGCGACCTATGACGCGATTAAACTGTGATTTGGAAACTGAACTGAACGTGTTACGATGCCTTCTCCTTATACTTCCCTAGAATACTCTAATATGCACTTAATTTATGAAGAGTGCAGGCGCAAGGTCATGCAGCAAGCTGATTGGATCGGGAGAGATATCTGAATGCTGAACGTTATCCCGATCATCGTGTGTTTATGAATGTCCACCGAGCATACTCAGAGGAAAAAATGCAGATAGAACCAGAGCGAACGTTGAAGATGGAGTTTTACAAGTACCTAGTCGTAACTGACCCAAGCATTTTAGCGCGTGCCATTGAAACAAGCACGGGAGTACCAAAAACTAGTGCATGGAGTTTTAAAACGCAACAGACTTCATCCGTAGCACAATGCTACAAAAAGATAGGGAAGATTCACAATTCTTTGACAGAATTTTATGGGCCGCATGCAATTAAACATTTTAATAAGAATTATGCATTATGAACTTCTGATACAACCGTCTTGTATTTTTTTTCCAAATCTACTTTTAAATGTACTGCGCCAATTTTTAAAATACCTTGCTGTTAGTGTTTTTTTTTTAAATATGTCAAAAACTAGACTCATATTTTCTTTGAGTTTTCAATAAATAATGAAATGGAATGTTTTTTTATTCGAGATATTGTAACATCCTTGGTTTTACTCAGAAAACCATATTGTAATTAATGGACAGAGGAACTACTCACGCTACCGATGCAAAAAAGAAAATACTTATTCACACCCACTCGCCATCACAGCACTGGAAAATTTCACCGATTTTCAATAAAATGTTAAAACCTAAAAAAAAATTTTTTTTTATATTTTACCGGAGTGGTAAGGCGCTACACCTACCATCCCCTCACTGTTGACGTTTAATTTTGGGACACCGTGTATGTCCGTATGGATTTCGGCATACATATAGGTAAGTATGCTATAGAAATACACACCTGAATGTAATTTTCAATCGACTTCAAAGAAAAGAGGAGTGTCACCTTGATCACTGACTACCCTTTCTGCATTTTCCACCAACTGAATATCCATGTGACTTTTTACAGCAGTTTTTTTTCACGTAGCCCGAGTCACCGATCATATATTTTATTATCGTTATTAATTTAGCCAGTGCTTCAAGTTACTGATTGTCTCTACTTAACATGGCGTATGTTGGTGTCGCTACACACGATTCCCAAGTCTACTCAACTTTAAACAGCAAGCGAAATACCACACAATATTATTTTCATTCTCAGATATTTCGAGTTCTTGCTTTGGGCGTAAACGATGTTATTTGTGATCAAAAACAAATAACTAATGAATATTAAAATTCGTGTATTAGGTATTTAAACCCACAGAACAAATAACCTATCTTTTACACCATAGTAAAATATATCATTTTTTATTCATCTCGTCTCGTCACGAAGGCTACTACTGAACGTAGGGATGGTCTCCCTAAACGATTTCCAAGAAGACCGGAAATGTTTTTTTTTTAGTTTTTTACTTGTTTTGTACTTACTTTTACTATACTTTACACAAAATTTTGGCAACAGAGCTAACCAAAGAAAAAAAAAAGAAATTTATTTTAATAATATGGGTTAAAAAGGAATTGAACAGTTTTTAAATCCTAAAATAGTTATTATAATTATATGACATAAATATTCAATTTACAACCCTTAAAACATTTCAATGGCAAATTAACATGAGACGCCTGTCTGTTGTTCTGCATGTTCGAGTTAATTTAAAAAAAAAACCCGCCATCTTAAGTTTGTTTTCTGAAGTTGATTACATCTTCAAGTTTTCAGTGCAACTTTCAAAGATGGAAGAAGGAAATAGTGTGCAAGTTTTAGAAAAAATATCTAGCGAAGTAGATGAATCCCAAATAAAAGTAATTCTATCAAGCCAGTGTATCAAGGGTGTGTATTTCTAATCATACAGAATGTTCTAGGCTTAGATCATTTATCGACGATTACCTAAAGATTTTGTCTAGTTAAAGCAGTGAGGGTGTTTTCAATACAATCATTCGTTAATTTAGTTTGGTAATTATTTTTTAACTGCCAAACCAGATTTTTGTTCGAGATTTTTTCTAAGATATTACCGTTCAAAGAGTCTTGTTTTATTAAAATGCTAATAACAACAAAAACAAGATTGGTTTGTCATGTGTTTCATTGTAATATAAATACACATTTGAATGATAATGTACAGGCTATATAAAATACTTACATGAGGTAAAATAGCATATAAAGCCATTACCACAAGTTAAGTTTTGTACATGAATTTTTAAGTGTGTCATAAGGAGCGCGCGCTTTTTCAGATTTCAAAGAAACGTGTAAAACTTTTAAAAAATATTTGTACGCACGCGCACTCATAATTTTGCGCCTGTTATAGCTCAAGCTTTTTTACTTGAAAAACTGAAAAAACAATCTGAACGCCATAAGGAAACCTGCAGCTTCATCAGTAGCGCGAACTTGAAAGTGGAGACTGAAATAAAACAGGCCGAACAGGAAATAAGGAGGTATCTAAGTTAAAACGAACGATATATTTAAAATTTGAACTTAGATTTGAGGATGTTCATGATGTCACCTACCAGTTTAATAATAAGTTTAGTTATCTCTTCTAAAAAATATCAATCAGCTATATGTATGCATACCTACAGCATACACGGAAATAAGGGTGGGTACATAAAAATCAAGCGGGAAAAGAAGAGTAAAGACTTTTATATCACTTCTCCTGAATTCTTTGGTGAAATTGACTAAGCCGAGATCTTAGATCAGCCTGGTTTGTTGTTTGTTTGGTTGCCGTCCGGCTATGCTTGAAGTATCAGACGCCCAGAACTTCACAAGTACCTAATTTAAAATTTGAGAAAAAAACGACTCGTGCTTTGTGTTCCCATGCAGTTCCCAGCAGCCTATTTATTTTATTTTGACGGTTTGATGCCCAATTATTTCAAGGGATATTCCAACTTTTTAATGTCTGTAGGTATATGTACTTCGATACACCTTGAAATAAAAGTCCGTCTTTTTATGGTATAGGGGGCAAACAAGCAGACGGGTCACCTGATGATAAATGTCTAACGCCGCCCATGGACTACGACGACGCAAAAGTAACGAAAGAATTGCTTAATAACACACCGGTTCTTAATTTTATTTTATAACTTTTTGCAACAAAAACATGCATCGCCGAACTTAATGCCTAAGGCGTTCTCTGCCAGTCGACCGATTAGGCGATGCTGAGAAAGAATGAGGTAAGTGATGGGAGGGTAATAAATGATAGGGGTTTTATTAATTGACAATTACTTTAGATTTTGGTGTATACATGTACATAGCTACACACATACATAAAAAAAAATGTTAGGCGATGAACTAGGAGCTCGTTGAATCTGCCATTTCTGTTCGGTTTTCTGTAAGATCGTGGTGGAGAAACTGGTGTGTTATTAAGCAATTCTTTCCTTCATTTTCTTAGAGGATTTAATCATTCCAAAGCCTAAGCCTATGCCTTGAGGTAGGTAGGGGGAACTTCAATTTTGTGTGCCAATCAATTTTTGTATGGAGGTAGCTCAATGGCTAAGGCATTAGACTTGCGGGTTCGAATTTCACTCGGTACATTATCGATATGAACCTACTTCTAACATTTAGCTTAACTGGAGGGATTAAAGAGAATGTTAGTAATGTGCGATCCACGTTGTTAATCTTCTTTAAAAAAAAGTGTTTCAGACCTCGAAATTCGTGTCACTTCCCATTGTTTAAAATTAGTAACAAATCATTACTGTCTAACCGACTAAACCCACTATATTCCAGCATGTTAATTGCTCAAGAGACTTTAAAATCAGCTAATGTTGAAATAAAAAAAGAATGGCTTTTGGCTAAAAATCGAAAAGCAGATATAATAGAACACGTAAACGAAGGAATAAAGAAGTATGAGGCTAAGTGGTCAGAGTGTAAAACAAGATATGAAAGTATACCATTTGTTCAAAATTTACTACAATCTCTGGAAAAACAAAAAACAACTGACCAAACTATCAACGACATGGATAAAGAGATAACAAAACTTTATGACGAAATGGAAATACGACGTAAAAAATGTAATGAATTAAACATAATACGAGCCGTTGAACTTGCTAATTTTATGATTCACGAACGGCCAAAAACAATAAAAACACTTAAGGAAAAAGCTGAGATGATAAACAGTTTAACTCAAGACATTGAACTGTTACTGAAAGATAGAGCTGAAAATATGATTGCTGTAGCAGTTACCGAACCTATGAAGTTAAATGAATTCAAAGGAGAGGAGGCGTTGAATAAACATGCCGATAATAATCTTTCTCAATGGGAAGACGATCCACTGGTAGCATATTTGTATACTTGTTGTTTGTATATTGTTACCACATTTGTGTTAGAACATTAAAATCATATTATTTTTCAGATTCCGAAATTAGATCTAGCCAACTTCGATCTAGATATTAGTGATGTTAATTTAGATCAGGTATGATATCTACTAATAATTTTGTGTTTTATAATAAGTTCATGAACATAGAATTAAATATTATCTGAACACATACATATTTCTTAACTGGCGTGTAAAATTATGACACACAGGTAAAGATGAAAAAGGACGAGATTCTTAATACTCTTCCGAGTAGAACCAATTCTATTCTACAAATTGTTGAGAAGAATGTTGAACACGAGAAAGCATACGAATACATGATATCTCCATATTTTACACCTTACAAGGAGGATAGGTCACGCAATTTTTCTGAAAGAAAACTAATTAATATTCTTGAAGATATCAATATCAATAGCGGAGATGTCTACAATATTGTAAAGAAGGTGAACCCTGAGAAACTGAAACCTGTAGGTGAAATTTCAGTTGATGCAGCTAAACACTACAAAGAATCGGTAGCTTGTCAAAAAGATCAGGTGAGAACTTATTGATTTTAGGTCTAAAAAAATACAAAAGAGCATTATAAGTATTTTGAATTAATATTTCATGATTACAATTTTTCCTGTAGCGTATTTACTATCACACTAACGAATATTTCATTTCTAGGATGATAGAAAAAACGAACCTATAGTAAGTGAGAAAATTGAGGAAATCGATTTGACATCGTCTACCGTCGAAAATATTATAATACCTCCAACCCAATTTTTGGATATTACATTATCGGTATAACTTTTAATTATAGTAGTATTTTAATAATTGTAATAACGTGTTTAGTCTAGCTTAAAACCTCAGTTTAGTAATAGGTACATACATACGTATGTTATATCACTCAGTTTTAATATGATATAAAACTAAATCCACAGGATGATACACCAAGAAAGAGAGTCTGTTTCGATTTGTCATGTTCAATGCAAATAAATGAAATAGATGAGAGTAAAGAAGACATGGAGGAAGTTAATGAACCTATCAATCAATCTTTGTGTACCCAGTTAGATGTAAGCACTGCAAGTGACGAAAGTTTAATGAGGATGAAAGAGATATTACTGAAAAAACATAATTTGGATCTGTCGCCTCAATTTGTGTATGCTAAGAACAATGTGTTGCAAAAGGTATATAAAGTAGTCAAGTCACTGAAGCATTGAACAGCATTTCTCTTTGGAGATGTAAACCATGTTATTTTGTTTTAGAAAGACGATGATAAAATTATAACATCGAAATTTTTCGAAAATCATACGGAAACCATAATAGTAAATGACCATGATGATATAGCAATGGAGGTTGATGAACAACCAGAACCTGCAGAAACAGAAGAAACCTTGAAACCTCAAGAGGATGTACAAGCAATACAGTCTCCCAAAGATGGCATTGTAATGCCAATGGATGAAGATAAAATGATTATTTCCACTTCTCAAACAAATAAAGTAAACTACTATTGTTGTGTTCATTTAATAGCAGGCATTGTTTGTAACATTTTCTAAATAATAATTTTCAATTAGGTAAATTTAAAGCCGTTTGAGGAGCAAAATTCAGAGAAAACTGTAGCTGGTTTACTTTTTACACATGGACGTCAAGAGATTCCTGATTCACTTAATGTGTCTTTAAGTACAAATGGATATGAAGACTCTGATTTTCCACATTGCTTTGGTAATGAATGTACTTTTTATTATTCAACTTGACTGCTACAAATATCTCCCTAATATTATTATAAAATTGATATCAAGAGTTATGAAATGAATCTTTTATTCTAAAACAATTAAACATATGATTTCAGATTCCAGTCTTCTTCTATCACCTAAAGCTAATGTACTAGCTGAAGGAGATAATAATGAAGCTCTATCACAAGAGGTTCCTAATTTTCTTTCAGGTAGATAATCTATTTGTTTCTCTATATTTTTATATTAGTGTATTACATACATACATAAATAAAGGTCATCAGGATATCATTGCAGTGTTATCTTAACTATTTCAATACATATATAGGTCAATCCTCATTTCATTTGAGCATCTTAAAACTTAGCCTTATTAGAAAGAAATATCTTGAAAAATAGATCTAATTTATTGTTTTAGGATTTCGTAAAGCAGGTTTGTCTTTTTTTGGTGGACCATCAGCATCATCGGAACCCAAGCCAGAATTAAATGCAACAAATGAACCCACTAATTTCAGTTTTAATTTTGGAGGGGACAATAAAAACAGAGGTGGTCTATTTAGCTTGTTTCGTTAATTCATAAATATCACTAATACTCTTTGCTTTCAAATAAATGAATTCTTATAGTATAATTTAATTTTATTTTAATTAGTGTTTTACTATCACTGCTTGCTTTAATTTCTCCATCCCTAGGAATAGTACTGTTTTTCTGGATAAAAGGTACCCTGTGTCCTTATAATGACAAGGTAAATAGTAAAATACAAAAAAAAACTACATTCATTGGTATATATTACATTAATAAAATGTACATTTTCATTGATGTAACTGGCAAGCTCTTACTGCAATTAACTGTAGTAGTATAAACAGGGGTGCAAAGACCTCACTATATTCTATACCTGCATCTCCTTGCAGCTTCCTACACAATAAAAACTTAAAGACAAATGTCAGACCTAGAAATATAGCGCTCCACGATGCTCTATACAGTGACGTTTTGTAGGTGTTTTCTAAATTCATTCGAATACATACAATACAACAAAAATATGCATTCATTGCATCACTAACAAATAGTGGTGCAAATATTGTCCACCAGGCACTATTCACCACACCATCTATCTTTAAAGCTAGTAACACTGAAAATATTGTAATAGTTATTAAGTTGATCCATATTTCAAACACTGTAAGTCCAATCCACTGCACTATTTCATTCAGTGTGAAGAACATTTTATTAATTGGCTCCAAGCATTGCAGTTCTGAATATTCTTATGTGTATTGAAGATGAGCACCTTACTTGTGCATCAAAGTCTAAGTCTTCTGTTAGAGGCTCCAAATCATCTACGGAAAATAAGTATGGTAGGTATGATTTCAGTTTATGGTTGTACCTGATAAATTAGTTGAGCAAAATTTAATGGTAGATAGAAAAGTTATAATTTCATAATAAATGATTGCCAGAGTTAATGACTTACCAATTAAGTCAACAGTTCCAGTATTCACTTCGATCTGACAAGTACCAGAAAACAGTATTTCTAATTGTAGCGCCAAGTTGCAACAACGCTGTATAGCTGCACCTAAACCATGCAGAATTATTTCCTTTTCGCCTCTTGTCAATAGTTCACAACACTTATCTAATTGCGCCTGAAAACAATAGTAGTTTAAAGTTTAAAAAGTTCCCGATCACATTGTTCGTGGTGATTTTTCTTTCGTTTATACCTTGAAATTTGTTTTCTTCGTTATGAATATTACGTTAGCTCCATCAATTGGTCGTGCTGGTAACCGCTTCTTTACAGCATAATTTTTGTTTGGATATCGTTTAGGTCGTTTCTTAGAATCTTCTTTCTTTTCAGTGTTTTCATCTGCCATATTTTCGCAAGTGACAACAACGTTATGTCAATGATCGTTTGACGTTCAATAACAGAAACAGTTATGTTTTTCGTTCAGAAATTATGGAAGGTGAACCATAGACATAGACCAACTCGACCGCACAGATTACTATAAAGTAGCACGCACGACCGTAATGAATTCTGTTTGTCTGCTAAGGTAGATAGACAAACAGACTCTTCATTACTGCACAACCAAAACAGATTTTATGGTTTTGTTGCTATTCCACATAGTAACAAAACAAAGGAGAAAAAACAATAAAATATTAATTTAAAAGTATGCTATTTTTAATTAATATTTTCCAGAGTTGATTACCTACTAGGTTTTATTTTGATTGAGTGTGTTTTCAATCGTAAGTTTAGACAAAAGTGTGCCATAAGTATCTGTACTTACACACCCCACTTTCCCGCAATAAACATTTTATAAAAGTAGACTGATTTGAGGCACCTCTGACCTAAAAAACCTTTTTTTATCATAACATATTTTACTTATAAGACGTTATTTGGAATCATTTAGTATTAAATATATTTAATAGCAGATAGTACTTAATTATTTTATTGTTTTAAAGATACAAATTATACAAATCAAATTACACAGTTGATAAAAATTGCAAAGATAAAAACCAGTACAATCATGATCTTTACTTTTTTCATGTGGCAATATTTACATTAAATATTAGGCATGTCATAAAATCGCAATCAAAGCAAATAATAACATGATATTTAAATCATTAAATCACACTTACAACTCTTCTACAACATCACTGCGACTAATTATTACGCTAGCGCCAGACACGCGAAAGTTCTAAATCTATATAAAAAAAAGGTCGGTTTGATTGATTTTGATGGCATTAATATTTGTCTATGACCTAATTTAAGCAGTGATTTATCACATGCGAAATCACCAATCACCTACCAACCAATCACTTCAATAATGAATATGATTTAAAAGTAGCAATTATTTCCATGGCTACTCGATATGATCAGATATCAAATGAATTGATTATAATTTTGCTCAGATGGATGAGCTCAGATCTCCGCTAAGAGTATATGTATGTGTTCTGTGGCTTAGATGCCATTTCACGAGTATTAGAGGAAAGTCGAGCCGAATCTCATCTAATCTCACTTGGGGTCTCGGCAAATATCACGTAATTTTATATCCGCAAAAACAGAGTAAAATTGGGTGAAAACTGGGTTAAATTAAGTAAAACATGTTCCTCCACGGAAATATGGCCAAGTCTTATACAATAATATTTATCATAGTATTGTGAGTGCCGTGAAATTTCACATTAGCCCGTCATTTACGCACCACCGCCTTTACACTAACAACACATTTTTAAAAATCTTACGTGAGATTGGGGGATTGGGGAGAGATTGAATCAAATCTCACGACATCTCACCTGGGGGAGAGGTTAGAAGCAGGCCGGGGTGACGGCGAGCGCGTTATGAAGCGCGCGCGCCCTTCCGGGAGCACAGAGGGAACATGGGGGTTGCCACACAGGGGGGGTCGTCTACCCGCCGTAGATGGCCCGAGGTACGTCGGGGCACCTGGGATTTCCTTTCTAGGGTACACCTGGTTCCCCGACTACTGTTAGCTGAGACGGCGTGCGGTTTTAGTCGGTTCGAGTACGACATTGCCACCGGTAACTGGTATCAGAGGGGATTTCCGCACAGAAAAAAAAGAAAAAAAAAGGGAGAGGGGTGGGGTCAGAAAATCGCCGAAAATCCTTTACGCGCCTTTACCTATGATAAAACAGCAGATCCTGGATCCCGGTGCAATAGAAAGAAAGGTGTCGAGTAAAGTATTGGAATAATCAGGGATAATTATTGTGCAAGTCTGCGAAAGTACTGAACGGATGTTCATATAGTTTTCACAGATGAACTTAGTGTAAATGATAGCAAACTACATCTAGCATCTTAATAATTAAAATGGAACTTTAATTATTAAGATGCTAACAAATTATTTTAATAATTCGGTGTGAAACCCGGAAGAAATTACAGCTTGATAGATAGGTAGTAAATAATAATTAGCCTTAGTTTATTATTATGGAACATAAAACGCCTGTAACCGCTAGTTAGTAATATGAAAGTATATAGGTAACGTACGACAAACCAGCTGTAATTCAGTACTCTGAAATACTCAAAGCTCAAATATCAAATATTAATTTCATCCTGCAGTCCAATTTCAATGTCACTGCTCACAATAAATTTTGATTTCCCTATTTATCTTGATCTTCTGGTAGCATTACCATCAAATCTAGACCAAACACACAGCTCAGAAAGAAGGAGTATCTATCATTTATCTCTATATTTCACTTTATGAATTTCTGCGTTGGATTGACAAACGGATATATTATGAAACTGCCAATCCATAAATGGGGATATTCTTGACATACCTGGATAAATTATCCTAAGTTATTAATTCTACGATTTTTTGTGATGTAGGTGAAGGAGAAACAAAGGGGTTTAATTGAAAGGGTTGTAAATTTTCCGGGTACAAATGGTGTGTAATCAAAATGGGTTGTGTGTGTTGTTCTCTAAGCTCGTTCTTTTCTGTCCTCTTAGATGCCCTCGAAAGGTAAGAACAATTTTGTATATATTAGATGAAGCTTCTAGTAAAAGCGTTATCGTCATTACAATTTGCTGTTACTTAAAGAATAGCTACAAATCAATACCTACACTTGTTTGGGCTGGTTGGTTTTGTGTCGAATCCGTGTCTCCTAAGAAATTGACCTATTCCTAAATTATTTCTTATCAATAGGGTACAGTCAACAACGAAGAAAAACGTTTGCAATTTATGTCAGAAACTGGGAACTTTTAGAGAACTTTTCGACTGAGAATTCCGAAATTGAGCCCAAAGCTCTTCCACTAATACACAAGTTTATCGCACCTCTACAATATTAAAAGACTTTACCAACATATATATAAACTACTAGCTGACCCGCGCAACTTCGTCTGCGTCTCTCAATAGTAATAAATTTTCTCCGTTTTTGAAACATTCTTCATTGGTGCTCCGCTCCTATTGGTCTTAGCGTGATGATATATAGCCTATAGCCTTCCTCGATAAATGGGCTATCTAACACTGAAAGAATTTTTCAAATCGGACCAGCAGTTCCTGAGATTAGCGCGTTCAAACAAACAAACAAACAAACAAACTCTTCAGCTTTATAATATTAGTATAGATATAAATCTTATCTTAATAAGTCGTTGCCATGCTTTGCGTGTTTGACTCTTGAACCTAGTAGTATTCAGTTCAATTATGTGTGGTAAATACATTTAAGTCGAAAAAATCTCAGTTCAAATGGTTATGCCGAGAGACAGTTATGTTTCAGTTTAAGTGCGGAAACAAGAGAAGAGGTTGATCGGACAGAAGGGAATAGTGGAGCTACATATATTCTGAATCTACAGTTAAACAGATTATCAGATATAGAACAGTAGCTAATCAGTTGGTGATCTTACTAATTTTACTCATTTGCAGAATCTCACTATGCACAGTATGCGCCATGCTGACATGTTGCTTCTTTTTCACCATCCTAACAGTTCTGATAATGGGAATCGGCATCGGTTACCATTACTGTTTTGTGCAAACTTCCGTGGAAGCTGTAGGTAAGTGTTCAACTATTGTCCAGCAAAGGCACTTGTTTATTAAAGGCTTAAGCTTCACTTGTACGAATTTTGTGATCTTTTTTATACTTTTCGAAATAAATGAGCAAAAAGTAAGAACCTTTGAGAAACAGGATGGCAGAAAAAAACAGATTGTTTTTTTGAGAGATTAATATGTTTATTTTAAATTGATTAAAGATTAAATAGATCGAACTAGTGTTTCATAAAACAGTAACTTTTTTGTTAGTAATTTCCAAAGTGGCTTCTAGGATCTTAAAACCGATCTTGGCTTACTTCAGGTAGTCGTCATCGTGTATTCACCAATCTAATAATAATCTAATAATAATATCTCTGTACAGTTCATTTATACATAACTATGTATTCTCTTAATCTTTCCTATTCTAAAGTTCCCGGTAGCTTCCCGCTCGTTAGCTTGCCCTTTACTGTACTGAATTTATACGAAATTTGCTTATTGTTTCTAATAATCACATAAATGATTTAGAGTGACCTTAGAAGAAAATAGTATTTATTGTCCTACTACGTTTAGCTCATGATTTTACACTAACGTAAAATATCATTGTTACAGAGAAGGCAGCTAAAGCCACAACAGCCTTGCGTTCTGGAGACAGGCCGGAAAGGAGCACAATGATGCGCTCTGTCGACAGAGTGATGAGGCGAGGTTTGTCGCGCAAAGCCCGTAGTAACGCAGACGGCAGTCCTGTGTTTAATAACAACACGCTAAATTCGCTGCATCCTCTAAATTATAACTACACACTTTTTAATAATACGGATAGCTTATTTAATAATACAGAATTAATAAATATTATAAACAGCACTTTAGACAATACAATAAATTATACCATTACTCAATTGTGAACGTTTGTCTGAAGGTATTGTGTTCAAATAAATTAAGCTTCTATCAATTTGATACTTTTATTTTTTCATATAAATGTCTTTCACATATGTCCGTGTGATGACAGATTAAGAATATGGAATATCAAAGCCCATATTCATCCCGTGGGTGTTGTAAGAGGCGAGTAAGGGAGCAAATTACGCAGGACGACAGCACTGCTAAGTGAAGGAAAACTGGCCAGCGTGGTATAGTCAGGCCCGTCTATAGCCTATTTGATGCCCCGGGCACATTAGGATAATAGGGCCCCGTACGACCTTGGCTGAACACTATTTTGTTAGAATAGGAAAAATAAAGTATTGTAGTCATTATTGCTGGATTTATCCAATTAATATGTTTTTCGGTATAAATATCGATTATCGATTCGTGATCTGACATGAATTAGGGGGCCCTTATCGATCGAGGGCCCCTGGGCACATGCCCTGAGTGCCCAGTGGGTAAGAGGGGCCTGGGTATAGTAGGCCAGAACCTCCTTTCTGAGGAGAGGTCTGTTTCCAGCAGTGGACTATTAAAGGCTGTTCATGTGATGTAATTTTTTCATATAACAACTTTTGTTTTTAGATTAATCTGGCTGCAATGCAAAATTGTGTTGACTAGCCTATTGAGCCTATTAGTCCCGATAACTAGACTAGGCAAATAACACTTGACAGACCGCAATGGTGAGTTCGATTTATTTAACAGCAGTCTGATTACCACAATACCTGCGATCTTGATTGAAGGAAAGTACGTGCTCTACCTAGTTGAGGATCGACTGACCTTTCTGCGAAATGTGTCAAGTTATTGTATGCACTACACATCTCACATGTAAGGTCATGAGTTTGATTTAGTTCAGCTAGTATTAAACTCATGTCGACAGGCCTGTTGGTCTTAGTAGTTAGCGGTCCTGACCACTAAGCCGAAGGTCATAAGTTCAATTCCTACCTTCCATTCTTCAAATATTGTGTGGAGAGCACTATCATTTCTGGGTGCAATTTATTTATAATATGAATGTGTAGAATTTCAGTATGTTTATTTAGAAGTTTATGTTATACTTGTTTTTGCACGGCGGCTCCGCCCGAGTGTATGTTGGTTATGCTTTAATAACTATGTTACTCGTTGATAATGCAGCTTTCCATTTGCCAAAGAATTTTTCAAATCGGTTTAGTGGTTTAGGCGTGAAAGCGTAACAAAGAAACAAACAAACTCTATTTCACATTTATTATATGAATAGAGGTTGACGGCAATAGGCTTGCCCCCTATTACATTAGTATTATGTAGTGGGGTGTTGGGCCTTCGGAAGCCTCACCAATTCGGTGAAAAGTGAGGTTTTCTTTAGGCCGTAGTTTCACACCGCTCGAGCCGGCACACGCACATTTCACCGTTACATGACTCTCTCACGGTTGGAAGAAGCTATTTGTCGAAAAATCCATACTAATATTTATTAATGTGAAAGTGTGTCTGTCTGTCTGTCTGTTACCTCATCACGCCAAAACAGCTGAATCTATTTAGATGAAATTTGGTATAGAGATATTTTGAGTACCGGGAAAGGACATAGGATAGTTTTTATCCCAGAAATGATCATTTAAGCGAAAAGGGGGTGGAATTTTGTATGGGGAATTAATAATCGCTGGACCGATTCGGATTTTTGGTATGGAGATAGTTTGTTCTTGAGAAAGAAATTTTTTTTCCGCGATAACCGACATACACGCGGGCGGAGCCGCGGACAAAGCTAGTATTTTTATAAAGTTTGGAAATGTAATAATATACGAAAATAAACCCAATTAGACTGTAGGTTTTAATTAAGCTTCAAAATCCAGCTAATAACATTTTTATCCCACCCGTATACATGAGAACTTAGCTAATTTGAAATCCCAAATATCAATCAGATTTTTATCAAGTGGAGGCAAATGCCATTGTAGTTGTGATATTTCTCAACGGTCTTAAAAACGGCACAGCTGTAACAGTGTTGTTTCGTGAACGTCGAAATCTGCCGATCAGTCTTCGTGCTAACTCTCTCTCGTTCGGCGATAGTTCTGGTTCCTTCGGTGGCCTGGTGTAAATCAAAACAGTCAATTTGTAGTGGCTTAAATATACAAAGGTGTGTGTAAATAATGAAATAATTAGGACTGGTATGCGTGAATATGACTATTTGTATCGGTCTGGTTGTTTTTATGTAAAGGAGAGGGAAACAGTGGATATACTAAATCAAATCATGGGGTACAGTAGATATTCACTATGTCGTCAAATTCATTAGTGCAGGTGAGTGAGTAAACGTTTAGTAGCTACTGGAAACTTAAGAACCTCTTTCAGCCAAAAAAAATGTTGTCACCTTCACCTGATCAGAGATTAAAATTATTGACGGAACGAATACAACTGTAGTACTCGCAGGGAATACTGTCTCGATACGCTGGGATTTAGGAGAGTTCTTAGAAACACGACGCCGACTAACCTTTCAGTTTCTAACAGCACCATAGGCGTCTGCGATGGCTCCAGGTAGATATTCTCTCCAGGTTTCTTGGTTTCGTATACCTCTACAAAATACAAGACAATTAACACTAAGTAAAATTAAATACTTCGAACATCGATGTGATATTCCTAGTCTTTTATTTCTTTTATTTTCTACGGAGGGGAAGTATAGTAAAATAATGAAATATAAAAAAAATGTATTAAGATTTTTTTCAGGTGTTTTTTGGCAAGTGACTAACTCCACCCATGGGTACCCACAACTCAGTGCTTTGCCATCTTTGTGTTTCCCCCTCAGAATTAGGGGAAGGGTTGACTCTCCGGTAACTTCACTCACTTGTTCACAGATCACAGAAAGAATTGCTTAAAACCAGTTGGTTTTAAGCAATTCTTTCTTTGCTTTTCATCATCACAAACTTGTGAAGAATTGTTTTTGTTTTAGTTACTTTTAGTTAAATTATTCTGACGAAGTGTTTATGAAGAGAAAAAAAAATTCACCGAAATATCAGCATTAAAACTCTCACAGGGAACTTAGTAATATAGATTCAGAAAAAGAAATAACCGCCAATACGTACCAATAAGAGGATGAGGCGCATGTTCCACCTCTGACCTGTTAACTGCAAGCAGCCTCACTACTGGCCTTTCCTGCTCAGCTCGAGCCAGCAGTGACGGCTCCGTTGTTGATCTCGACGACACTGAGATACAATATGATAATTCTTCACAATATCTATATGCAACGGGTGCTTAAATTTTAATACGTCTATTCAATACTAATGGATAAAGCGTCGGATTAGCGATCGACCGACGATCTACTACTACTCACAGAGGTACATAGGTGCTACTCACAGAGGTAGGTATCTGGCTGAGAGGGTTTCTTTCACAAACATACTAGTAATATCTGACTTACATTACAAGTTATCTTTTAAAAACAATATAATATAGTTTAGGCAAGTTGTATGCAGTTGCAAGACACATTTTCTCCTTTAAAACTTAGTTTATGTTTGTTATTAAACGATGTTAAGTATATAATTGTAATAAACTCATAACAGTTAAGTCTGCCTTCTTACATTACATTTTAGTCAGTGATCCTGACTGCTAAGCCAGAGGTCGTGGTGTCAAGGGTATTATGCTATATATACTGACGGACACATAAACGTCATCGAAGTTTAGGATTGCTTTCAAATTAATATTAAAAAAAAAATGTCCAATCTAAAATGAAAATTTTCTGCAACACACGTTGTACGATGACGTTCGCCGAAAATGCTGAACAGATTTTGGGAACGCACTTTCAACCAATAATTTTCTATTTATCTGATAATTTTTTTCAAATTGTCGTCATATTCTTTTTCCGAATAAGCCGCGGCCGACTTTTATTTCATTAAAGAATTAAATAAATATATTCATCTTTCTTTAATTATATTACTACTAGGTCTGTCATGATATAAAATAATAAAAACTTTAACAATACCGGTGGTAGGTATCATTGGGTGCTATCACGGGTCCGTGACGAAATATTTAACTAGGTTTATCAACGGTATGGTGACCATAGTACAGGTCCTGCATAGTTTGAGATCAGACGGCCGTGTATGAGATGTGTCAAGTTATTATATTATTGTATAGTTTAGTCATAGCGTATATGCTCTATCTATGGTGTCGCGTTGTATGGAAAAATGTTTTTAAACAAATCTATAAGGCTACTGAATTGTTACTCACATGCGAAAGAGGAGAGTTCTTTTTGTGCGTAGTGGTACCCTACTGAGATACCGTACACCATTAGCATGATGATGGAAAACATCAACAGCATCAGCAGAAATGCGCAGCAAGTCCATGTCAACACTCTGTTTTAACAAATATCAATTGTAGGATATGATAGTCAGTAAACACGTGTTTATTCAACTACGAGTATATAAGGATAACATTTATTAATTTTAAAAGATAACGATAGAAACAGTAAAGTAAGTAAATAATATGATGTGTGTGGGAGGGGGAGGTTTACCCAAATTGATGAACTTTTCTGCCGCTGTAAGGCTATACATGCTTGAAATTGTAAGGGACGGAAGCCACTGCGATTTAAGATAGTTGTATGTATACTGAACTTGCAAATTAAAAAATATCATAATTTAAAAAAATTACTGCATGCAGAATGTTAACATAATAAGAACTCCGTTTTCTCTGTCTCTATTATTACGACCATGACTTTACCTTTCAGCGCAAAATGTTGCAGAACAGAACACAGACTGTATCAAACCCATCTTCTGTTTTTAGATGACAATCTGTTGAAATGCAATAATCACAGTCAAGAAAATTAAGTCATTTACGTTAACGTTTATAAACGTTATTTAATGCTAACACAAAAGCAACTAAAGAAATCATGCTTCAAAGTTGCCAAGTAATTTTTGAAGAGAAGTTTCTGACTCGTACAGTCAGAAACTTCTCTTCAAAAACTTCTTCTCTGTGCCGTGGTGTGACTGAAAAGTCGATAGTAGGCCATAGCAGGATTTCAATTAAAATCTCACCCACTTTTTGGAATCGTGATTTTATTACAAGAAAATTAATTAAATTACATACAAATTCCGACAGTTATTTCAGTGAACTGTACTGAATCTCGATATTTTCTGTGGCTATTAAGGAATAGTTCCCTAGTTTCGATGTTTTTAAATAAGCTTACTTAAGCAATTTACGACTTTGTAACTTGTTTCACCGAAGCAGACCAATACCCTTTTATTTTACTTTAAAACAAAGTATAGAAATATGGCAGTGATCTGCTTTTAATACACCTAACCTTAAATAATACTCATATATTAGTCCGTGTGGTGACGGATTAAGAATACAAATTGACACTACCCCAATTCATCCCGTGGGTGTCGTAAGAGCCGACTAAGGGAGCAAACTAAGCAGGACAACAGCACTGCAAAGAGAAGGAAAACTTGAAACAAACCCTATACCAACCCGTCTGGCCAGCGTGGTATAGTAGGCCAAAACCTCCTTTATAAGGAGAGGCCTCTGTCCAGCAGTGGACTAGTATAGGCTGTTGATGAGATATATTATACTATATAGTTATTTTTTATATTCGTAACTATCAATAATTTATGTCATAGGAAATAAATTAGCAAAAAAAAAACCTGAACTTAAGTTTACTAAATTTATAGTGGTATTGTTACATATACATACCTAGACACATACGATTATTGTGTGTAATGTATAGACATATATTTAGATGGCATTATACTCAAAAAAACTGCAATAAAATATTATTATACCGCACAAAATATTACAAAAATTAGTGCATTCTTCACCAGAAAATGTCAGTGTCAATCACTATACGTACTTTGTCAGTAGAAAAGTGAAGTACCTAGAGTTTTTCTACCTCAATAAACACGAACCTCTTTTATATGTAAAGAGTAGAGTAACACTTCCAGTTGGATAATTTTGAACTACGAGTTTAAACTCGTAATGTAGTATAGTAGATAATGTTTTCCTGTCTGCCACAGAGATCTGTCGACTTTTCAGTAGATTCAAATGCAAAGCAGATGCCACTCCGTAGGTGACGGATTAAGAATACGGAATGTCACCACCCCCATTCATCCCCTGGATGTCATAAGGGCCGACTAAGGGAGAAATCTACGCAATACAACGGCATGGCAAAGAAAAGGCAAATTTGAAGCAAACCTGCAGCGTGGCATAGCAGGCCAAAACCTCAGACTCAAAATATCTTTATTTCATTAAAAAAAATGGTTTGAAATCGTCTCTTACTCTTAAGTCATAAATCAACACACACAATAGCAACAATTGAAGGAGAGGCCAAGGTAGGTACAAACCATCTTTTTATGGCATAGAAGGGCAAACAACGAGCAGTCGTGTCAACAATAGTCAGGGTCACAAGTGCGTTACGCCCATGAGGATCAGAGGGAATCCCTCCTGATTTGGACTCTGGCAAACCTCACTCATTCGACGAAAAGTAACAAAAGAATTGCCAAACAGCGGTTTACAGCCCATACAAAACAAATACCATGCAATTTTTTGGGTGCAGACCACTAGAACGCTAGAAGTCATAAGCAACATATATCTGTGCGTTTTCTTTTTCTCTCACCAAAGTTGCAATTATTTTTTATATGACTAATATGAATAAAAATGATGATATAACTATGATAATTTATTTAAAAAAATGGGACACTAGAGTTTATATATCATTATTTGATAGATGTTCATAGATTTGCTTTATGGGTTTTGATTTCAAGACAAACTCTGAAACCTTGATATTGCTGCTAGTATTCTAAATAGGCAAACCTGAGAAATAAAGGAAATTATGTAACATGTACAGTGACTCTTTATCAGTTAAAGAAATTTTTACACCGTAAGGTAATAACGGACGGAATGATTGAACCCTTAAAAAGTTCTTTCGCTTTTGTAACTAGTATTGCTTGACCTTTTTAGAATCTAGACGAGCTAGACATGTTGTAAAAAAGTACTATGCATAGTTTCCCATTATCTTAATGGGAAACTATGCTACAGTACTTTTTTTTCATAGTCATATATATATTTTCTTCGAGTGAGCATCAAACTTGCTGTAGACGGTGTCAGAAAAAGTCAGCGAGATTAATTCAAAAACTGGTATCTATACGTTAAACAAAAATTTTAGCTATGAGTTCATGGCCATAAAAAAAAAGAACCAAATGAGAATGTTGAACCTCAACCTGATGAGTTGTTGTATATTACGGCACTGTTGCAAGCGCCATGATCAGAATGAAACGAGTTACTGTGAAAATAATCATAGTAAATATTCCGTTTGTAATAACTTATCGATTAAACCTTGAGTTAAGATCGATCCTTCATCTGAAATGTCACCAGAAGTGGAACTACTGCTACAGCTGGCCTTATTGCTTTTATCGTTGATATTAATTTATGTACAATACTTAATAAATTGGTAGGTGTATCTATGTTTTGGTTAAAAAGTTATAAAATGGAATGTTGACTGATATTTAGGCGATTATAATTGGTGCCATTAATAAAACGGTGATTATAAAAATTATTCGTTTTAATTAAGTTGCTATGGTTGGACCTTTGGTACAAATGTTTCTAAGTCCAATGCAACGGTGGTTCAAAGAAAGAAACAGATCTAAAAATGATTTTATCCCTATATTGCTAAAACTGATCAACTTTGACCTAAAAGAAATATACCATCGTATCTATATTAAGAAAGGATTAAATATTAGTCACAAGTTTTATTTACCTTTAAGGGGGGGGTAAGGTCAAATCATACGAAAAAAGCCATGTTTTCGTGATTTTTTTTCTGACGACGCAGTTAAAATTTCTTTACTCAACCAATGGTACATTGAAGTATGACATTCGAAGAATGTTTCATCAAATTTGTACAAAGAAATATTAAAAAATACGGCAATGGCAGCAATTGTTCGGACGTGTCTCGAAAAAAAGTTGAATTGCGGTGCCCCTCATAACTTGGTGCTGGATCATCTGAAATCAAAAAATCAAAGTTCATTCGTTAGATAATAGTTTTCCCCAGGTAACGCTGTCGAGTTTTTTTTTTTCTATTTTTTTTCATTTTTTCGAACACTTTGAAGTGAAAAACACAATTTTTTGGGAAAAAAATCGGCTAATTTGTTATTGCGAAATCAAAATTATGAACAAAAGAAAAAAACTCTCGACAGCGTTACCTCGTAAATGATGTACAGAAATAGTGTTTAAAATTTCAAAAGGATCGGTGCAGTAGTTTTGAAGTTATCAGGGGCACCGACTTTGAAAACGTGACTTGTGGGAAAAACGCTTTAAAGTTTTAAACTCAAAAAAATCCAGTTAGAACGTTTATAAGCGAATTTTATCGACATACCTCACACTGAGTCATCAATGCCAGGTCCATAGAGGATGTTGCTATCATCGATGATGTCTAATGCATCTTTTTGCTCCTTCCTACGACGAATCCTGACTTCTTTGGTTTGTCGTTCAGCTTCCTGCTCTGCGCGGCTTATGCGTGTGGAGTCAGTGGATCGCGCCCAGTCATGAGCGCTTGGTCCACTACTGATTTTCATGTCTTGCATGAAGGTGAGTAAAGCAAACGAACCTTCATTGAAGACACTGCCTGCCACATAAGCTGCAATTTCAACGACGACAGAGGTTCCACTCAAGTGCTTCGGTGAGATTTTCCAAATAAGTTGGTTCAAACTCTCATTGTTGTTCTGCGTGAAGCCTCCGACACATCGCTCCAGGAGGGCTCTTTCATCTTTCATCTTTGCTCAGATCAAAGGTCATTTTTATTTTTTTAGCTGACGCGCTTCTTGTCGTAATGTCTTCTTGTTCTTCTTGTTGTTATGTGATAATAATAATAATAATAATAACCTTCCGCTATTATTATCTAAGCCTATAGAAAGTTATTATAATTAATTGCTCTGTGCCAGCAGAGACGGTATTGCATAATTAGACAGAATATACGTGTGTGTATTTACAGACTCTAAAGCATGCTCTACAGTTGATGATGATGATGATGATGAGGAGGAAAATGTATAATGTCCAAAAACTAGGTTTTTGGAACTTTAACAGCAAATTACAAAATAATGACACGGTCTCAGCAGTTGCATTTTAGTTAAATTATCATGATGTACCGAGAGGAACCAAAATACGTTGAAATATCTCGGTTGGCATTTTTTTGAGAAAACACTCCTTTTCCTAGTCTATTAGTGTTTTAACAGATTCTAAAATTAAAAACAGACAACGTTAACTTTTTTTTTATGAAATAAAATGAAAAAGAGAAGAATGAAACTTAATACAATATTTCAAAAACATCCGATTTGAACGTCCTGTGTTTGTTTATCTTAACTTAGTTTTATATGGAGACGTCTAATTTGAAAGTAAAATATATTAAAATATGTAAATGTTTTGTCATCATTAAATCTTTGCGACCTTTGTGACCAACTCTGTGACTCAAAACAATAAAATATTTAAAAGTATTCTTACCGCTATTGAAATATTGTCTAATATCATTTGACAGCGGGTCAGAACAGACAGAAACTTTATATAATACAGAGACATATATAATTAACAAACAGTTCATCCTTTTAAAATAAGTTATCTACTTAATGACTTCGAAGAATACTACTAGTTTTTAGTCCATATTATTATTTTGTATAAAAACCATCAGTTTCAAAGTCATTGCCAATATGGTTAACAACAATAATTAAATTTCAAATTTTACGACTGTAGATAAGGAATATTAAAGTACGACTACAGAAAATACGAAACTTTAGAACAGGCATAGACAAATATGAAGAAAACAATTTGGTATTGTTTTATTTTTTCCATGGGCGTTAGAGTACTAACGAATGGTTTGACAGGTAAACCATATCTCTTTTGTAATTAATCTGTACTTAATTATTGATCTTGTTATTTGTATCTAATACAAAAAATTTAAAGGCACACAAGACACATATTTTGCCGAAGATACACACACACATATCCAGCAATTTTTTTTTGCTTAAGCGTGCCTGTTAATCAATTTTGATTACGTAATATATATTTTTTAAACCTTATGTACAATCACAAATGCACGACAAACATGAATGAATACAATACTATTCTGTTTTACATCTACTGGATGTGAATCAAAATGCTTATTTTTTTAGTTCTTTTTAAAATTGTTTACAAAAAGAATTTCAGTGACTAATACAATAATAGCAACTAAAAAACCAACAAAGTTTATACATGTGCTATCTTGAGTTTGGCTATATTATTTTTATAATATATACACAAAAGAAAACAATAATCTTACTATTAATAGTAAGACATATCTTAAATTATACTTATGTATCATAACAATACAGAACTTAGAATGTACTACATAAAACAGAGCAAGTACGTTACATAGCCAGTATTAAAAGAGGTTTTGAAAATGTTAAAAGAATATTTTTATATTTATATTTTAAAATCAAAAACAGATCGTTGCAAATTGTAGTAATAATTACTGTCAGACGTGTAGAATATATTTGTGAATATATTCTACACGTCTGACACATTTAAATTAAAAATAAAATAAACAACTTACTTCTATTTACGCTCTATATTAAGGAACTGAAAGAAAGATAAGTTTGAGGAAAGGATAATAAGGGTGATCCTTAACAGTTGGAAAGATATTTTAAATATACCTGAGATAAAATACATAAAACAACTATACCTTTGTTCTTGTAGGTATCTGTAGTAATAGTTAGCTGTAAAGGTTTACTGGAAGAGAATGCCCTGGGCATTAAATCCGCCGATGAACAAAAGTGCATAAAGTTATATGAATAAATAAATAAAATAAATAAGCGAACGGTAATCGTCGTATTTGTACTACTCATAGTACATGCAAGTTACTAATAAATATGGTATACCTAATTATAATCTAACGTTCATTAGTGATACTCTTCTGATCATTGTCCTTCAGGTAGTAAATCGGATAAATCAGAATGCTGGATGTCGCTCAGAGCCCCGGAACTCTTTCGTGTTATGGAGAAAATTGACAGTAAGTGTTTTATCTACTTTATAGATATCACCGGAGAGTCTTAGATTGATCTTAAAACTTCCTTGAGGAAGGTTACTAACAAGATTACCAAACCAAGGAAGTTTACCAAACCAATTCTTGAGAATTGGTTTAAGCGTAAGAAATAATTTAGAATTGGTTGGATACTAGGTCCAAGAACAAATTTCTTCGTAGGTAACCAAGTTTTCTTTTTTAGAGGAATACGCCTTAGTACGAAAAGACGCCCAAAAATACATAGAGAAAATTGACTTCAATAAACGTATGCTTGAGGTATGTTATCTATTAAACCAAAATTCGTAATTAATTAGTGGTACCTACACTGTTTAAACTATCGTTTCGAAATACTAACATTGGCACGTATTTGAGTTCTACGAAATCTTGAAATTACTAATTATTTTTATATAAGAGACTAAACCACTTGTCTAAATTTGTTTAAATCATTTATTGTATATTTCATTTATTGTTTAAATCATTTATTGTATATATCAAAGCGATATTATTATTATTAAAGTTCTATGAATTTATTATATATAGTTCTATTGATGTTCTTTGTTGCATTATGTCCAGAAATAATGTTATTTTCTTAATTCAATGTTCCATGGTAGAAACTATCTAAATTTGGTGCTTCATACAGTTAGTGCTGGCCGAAGCCACAGTAGCTTATCAAGAAGTTTACAAAGCAGGCCCCCTCTATGCGAGAATCCCAGGAGGATTGCCCCTTGGCGGTCCGTGCATGATGAAATTGCCGGACACAGTTCTGTAAGTAGAAGTCCCCATATATCCACGCTTGAAGCGTTAACTAATAGTGAGAAAATGCTCCTTTGAGATCTAGGGATAAGAAACACATATCTTAAAAATGCTCCTTCTGCTGTTACTGGGCTAGAGAACTTACCTCTACTTTAAAGAATGCAGAAGAGCAATCTTAATCTTCTCTGTTTATTTAATAAGGTGTAATGTTATAAAACACTAGCTGTACCCTACTACGCTTTGCTGTGGGACATTCTGGTTATTAATGAGAAATGATGATTAAACTGAAGTGAAAAAAAGATGAAAACAGTCTTTGAAGCGGTTCGTATATCGTGTCAAAATATACTTGTTTTATTTAATAACTAAAAGTGATCAGAATTAGAAAGGATGTTAATACTTAAAGTTTACGTCTACCATATGGCGAAATGTAAAAGACATTTGAGGACTTCGTCCTTGGAGAAAACGTCAACTAAAGTAACTGTCACTTAAGATTCTAAGAGTACAGTGCAGATAAACTTGACTTTATGAATAATTTAGCTGTTAAATGCAGTTTCTTCCATCGTATGAAGCTGCGTAACGACACTTTTCTCCGAGTGAACGTTCTGCACAATGACATGGTGAACATGGTGCTGAGGGCACACCTCTCCGTACATGGTTTGCACCTGAAGGGCGCTTATGATCATACTACGACGGGTCAAGTGCGAGGCACGCTCGTTCACACACCCACCACTGGTGAACTTGGGTAAGTTCATACTTTTTTTCTTAATTTTTTTTATGATATAGGAGGCAATCGAGCAGATGCGCTGGTAAGTGACTATCGTCGCCCATGTAAGCCTGTAAGAGTCACAATTCTGTTGCCCCTCCCAAAATCAAATGTTGGAACTCCGTAAACATTAAATTTGTTGAAAGATTTAAATTTTCTGCTTTCTAAGAAAATCTTTATTTTTGTAATATATTTGATACCTGAGAGAGGACTTTGTCCGTGTGTTGACGGATTAAGAATACGGAGTGTCACCACCCCTATTCATCCCGTGGGTGCCGTAAGAGCCGAGAGGGAGCAAACAACGCAGGACAACAGCACTGTAAAGAGAAGGAAACCTTGAAACAAACCCTATAGCAACCCATTTAATCAGCATAGTCTGAGTAGCGTAGGCCAAAATCTCCTTTCTAAAGAGAGGCCTTTGTCCAGCAGTGAACTACCAAAGGCTGTTTATGATGATAATGATTTGATACCTAAATTCATAAATTTATGGATAAATATTCGTTACTTTTTGTCTAATTTATTAATTACTTACCTCTGACTGTTTTAAATTTGAACAAGAGTTAACAATAGTATTTTTTTTCAGAATATTCCTGGAAGACATAAAATACACAATAGAGGGTCGCTACAGATTCATGGGGGACAGACTCGTTATCGAACTTATCGTCTCAACTCTTAGTATCCGAAATATGGCGTTAAAGGTAATCTATTGCACTATGGCTACATCTGTTAACATCATTTTCGTATTACAACATAAATCTAAGGATATAGACAGTGCTTTCTTAGCATTATAAAAAAATACCCGATCTAGGTGGCAAATGCAGCTATTGTTTTGGTCAAGGACATCTGGTGCTAACTTTATTTTAGCAAGAATCTCTTTATGAATCTAATAGCGATCCGCCTCGGCTTTGCGGGTGCAATGTAGATACTATTAATACTACTAATGTGGTGTCAGTGTAATTAATTATACTATTATTGTGATGGGACTATACTACAGCAGGACATCTTTAAGTGCAATATTTATAGTCCCGCTCCGATTAGGACGTACGCACGACGGTCGTTGGCGGTTTATTTTTGTCTATCTCGTAAGGTTCAGCCAGCGTTTGCAATGTAAGCGCACAAAAAATGATTTTTACATCAAATCTTTAAAATGATCGGCTTTTCCATCGTCTTGAATCACTATCTCTATTGGTGAAAATCCGTTGCTTAGTTTAAAAGATCTAAGCGTACAACACAATAAACCGATTTGTTTTATATTATGTAGAGATAGATAGTATGAGGCACTACTAACGCAAAACTCTATAAAAATCTTATTGTTTTCCCAACTTTTTCAGTACCCCAATGCAACTGACTCCGACCCCCCGGTGCGGCTATTAAAGAAAAATATGGGTAAGATTCATTGTTGCTGGTAGGTACTTGATTGAGTATTATTTTAGAAATTAAAGAATCTGCTCATAACAAACCTATAAAAATGCGAATGGACTCCAGATCACAAATTAACATTATTAATCGTATAAAATCTTTGATCAATTTTACATTTCACAATTTATTTTGAGTAGGTACATACTCTTTACAAACTGTATTAAATTGAAATTGATAGAACCACTGTAATTTGACATCCAAGTAGTTGTTCATAGTAGTTGATTTCCGTGCACTATTCAGAGATTTGCCATGTTTTTTAAAACTATAGAAATATTAACGTCTGTCAAGGGTTAACTTCACTTACTCTAATCTCGTGTGAGTGCCCACGGATAAGAAAATACTGGTTCTAGATAGGCTTGAGGTAGTAAGCTCAAGCCTATTTAGAGCCGGTATTTTCCTATCAGTCGACAAAGTCGCTTGTTTTGGAGAAATTGCTCAAATTGAACTATTAGACCCACTTTAATCTTAAGAACAATTTGGAAAAGGCTTTCTGTCTGTCTTTTTTGAAATTTTCTGTTTCTTCAAATATATATTTACTATATACAATTTCTTTGGGTTTGGACTGTATTGCAGCCAACTCTGAACTGAACTCTGACACTTTAAACAAGTTTCTGTATTATTCTTACAGCGGATTTCAGGACTGGGTTGAAAACTGATCTAGATAAGTGGGTGCAGGACTACTTTAATGGTTACCTTATAGTATCGGATTTACAAGACATCCCTTCTCTTTGGAAACTTCGGTTTGTATTTTATAGTCAGTGACGGCTTTAGCCGTTGTAAGGCCCCGGGTAGGGAGACTGTTACGAGGCGCCGGGTTGGTAGATCATTACGAGGCCCTTTTCTTTGTGGAAATTGATTGATGATACTCGGAACAAAAATTTCAACACACTTTTATATTTGTAAATACATACATATATAAATTACACCCAGATACAGAAGAAATTATCGTGCTCGTCACACAATATTTATCCGGACTGGGAATCGAACCCACAATCCTTATCTTAGCAGTCAGCACTACTAATCACTAGTGCAATGGGCCAGTTTAATTTTAATACTTTCCAAAGATTTTCAAGGCAGGATTTGAAGGACAAAGATAAATACATAACGACATTAAAACATGACCACAGCGTTTTAACACACGTTTGCGCACAATAACAATGTATTATATTTTAGAGAATACGACCAGTATAAAACATCTAAATTAGCAGCATTTACGGACCTCGCCGTAGCAAGGATAAATAAAAGGATTCTTGATATTGGTGGAGACTACATTCGCGTACCAAAGTTTAAAATTGTAGCTGCATACGGACTGGTAACTTATTTTCTTTTTAAAGTTAGGTGTATAACTCTTAAGTGTATAGTGACATAGACAACGCATACTAATAAATAAGTAAATATACCACGGGAGACTAAAGAAAACTTTGCTTTGAAACTGTAGGGAGGGAGGGGGGCCCTACCTGAAATCACATGGTCCAGTCCTCCCCAGAGTAGGACCGAGCCAGGCCCCTGGGTCCTTCTGCGTCGCCAAGAAGCCGGGGATCCGAAGTAATTTTCTACCCCATCAACAAGGCGGTGCCCTATCTATCTACCTATTATATGTACCTATAGTTATCTGAAGTACTATGTAGTTGTTTTGTAAGAATAGTTGTCTCACTTTAATTTCTTATACCTAACCACAAAATACTGTACATGTTTTTTATTGTTAGGTTATTAATATATACGATGGCGCTCTGCGAGGTTTGGACACCATGTATAGGAGGTCAGTTGCCACCACTGTTTTTAAGAGAGATAACCTTCGCTATGTAGATGCTATCATCGGCTTCAAAGATTTGGAGGTAGGTACAGGTGACTTAAGTAGCAATATTTCTGAACGACTGTTTATCTGAGTCCTCGAAAGACAAAAAATACAGTTTTATACTATCTAAAAATTGACTGTAAAGAATATTTTAGATATGATTTTAACTTTACGGCTACTATTGTTACTACTTCGGTTCTACTTGCCAAATAATCCAAAGAAAAAAATTGCAGCTTGTTATTTTAAACGATTATGTTCTAGTGAGTTTCAGACTGATATTAGTTATACTTTATACTCACATTTATACACATTATTGTTTGTTCCCTGCTCTCGGTTTGATACGATAAACCATGAATTCTAGGCTTTTTATCATGTTATATAAGAGTTTTAAATATTCGAGATAGACAACATAATTGTTACCGTTGAAAATGACAATAATAATTAAATCGTATGCATTTTCAGGTTTCATACAGATACGTTGTTAATTTCCCGCCAGGGCCATTGATGCCACCATCTCTAACCGGTGTACTTCGTATGTCTGCTAAGGATCTCACAGCGCACTTATCACTAGGCTTATTAATGGATCCAGAAGTTGTGGAATTAGATATTAACTTCATTAATCCACCGGGGTAACCTAAGCCTTATACTTAAAGTGCATATATATATAAGTAAAAAAGTGCAGTATAAAAATATTGGACATTTTAGGAGTTTGCAAAATGTACAAGCATTGAACGGTAGCGCCTATTTGCTAGGCGTTTATATTTTTAATAAATATATTTTAGATATAACGATTTATCAGAGTTCATAAGAAACTCCATCTGCATCAGTTTTAATCATTTATTTAAAAGTCGGTGATGATTGATGTCGACATAAAGGCCAATATGTTGCATCATGCAGAGCTAATGACATCTCACGAGTTGATTCACTGGAATTTTTTTTTCTAGAGAACGTGCAAATTAACTTGCCTATGTTATTCATATTCATTAAGTGAAGCAACTATGAATGATTTAAATATTTTTGGTTAACTTTAGTTCTAAAGAATCATAGCCTCGCTCAGTCAGTGAAAAGCATCACCAAGCCAGCCCATCCCACTTCCCATTAGTAGTTAAATAATACACCTAATTTCAGGGCTGATGACATAACAATAGAAGGTGCCGCCAATATATTGATGTCAAACTTCAAACATATACTGCGTTATGAGATTGCGACCATTATGTCAAACTCTTTGATGTACGGTGTAGGATTGCTCAGAACTCTGCCAAGATGTGGTAACTATTCTTATGTTTTAACGTAATCATTAGTGGGTCTCAGTACAGGTGTCGGAGTACTTAAAGGTTTAACTGTTTTCTGGATCTAGAAGGTAATACATAAGTTGTAAAGGGATAATGGGAGTCAGTGGGCAATGGTGGTGAACGTTCTAACATCTAAAAAATGTACCTAAACAAACGAGGATTGGCCTAAAAGATTAGTTGGGTGACATGGTGTGCTTATGAAATTGACGATTATATATGAAAATGATAGTTCAGTAATTAAACTACCATAAGAGTCATAAAGTTAAAATACCTACATATTTTGTGTTTATCTTAATTCTTGCTTAAGTGATTCCCAATAACCCCTTCTTATGCTTTAAATTTTAAAAACTGTGATGCCTTCTTTTTCTTGATAAGGGAAACTATTTGGTAAAAGTTTTCGTTGGTAAGATTATTTCAAAATTCATGATTGAATATGTTTTCAGAGCCATTTGTACCTGGTATGCTTAGAAATACAACAAAATTAGGTAAATTCAACAAAAAGAAAAGTCTTAGTACTTCATCAAAGAATAGCGATGAAGCAAGATCCAAAGAATCTAATTACACACGACCTCAAAGAAGACATGGCACAACTGTGAAAATGATGCTATAATATAGGTACAAAATAAATTATCTACCTGACATTCATTTGTATTTTTTTGACGTGAATCTATTATTATTATTTTTATCTTATGAATTGATGAACGCCGGCTGCACCCACGAAAAATCATGATTCACTGTCACGTTCCGCCTGAGCCGAGCGTGCAAGCGAGAGCTCGGGACAAGCGATAGAGAGGCACGACAGTAATTCAATTCATAAAAGTGTACAATTTAATTTTTTCATCAATGTGTCACTATGACGTTGTCACGTAAAATTATTGTGCGTAAACCCACTTTACAGACAACCAATTTTTCTTTTAAACTAATTTAATATTTTTTTATAATGTTCAGGGGTTCGTAGGTAAGTGGTAAGCAAGTAGGTTATCGCATTGCAAAGTTAACCAAACCTAGCACCACCTATGGATGGGTGACCATTGTTAACACATTGAGAGGGGAGGGCACCATATACCGTCGGTCCCGGTTGCCATACGAACATCTGTGGCAATCGTTACGGGTGGTTGGAGCCCTAAAACAGTCCGACAATAGTCTATCTATAGAATTTCAACATCACCTAGTACTTGGGTTGTGGGGGTCTGATGGTAGTCGCTACACGTAAACGCCTCTGTCTCTCTCTCTCTTTAACCCAACTTAACTCTAGGGGCACTCACTTGAGTTGCAAGTGTCCATAGGTGGCGGTAGTCACTTAACATCATGTGACCCATCTGCTCGTTTGACTCCCTTTAACATAAAAACGACGTGAGGGGTCTATGAACCCCCTGTCGGAACGAAGTTCGGCAAGCAGTGTCGGATAAAAATCTTGTTACACATTTTTCGGTTTCGCTGCCATCTGCTCAGAGCGTATAACGATAAGGAACTTGTACCGAACTTGTAGAACCGTTGTACCTGTTTCACAAATTAGTTCGGTCGCATCAGTCATTCATTTCATTCTTTTATACTTGAAATTTAGGGTTTCCAAGCCGAGATGACAAGTAATAGAAATAAAAAATATCGATAAAAAGAAACATTTTATTAACAAGTATAATAAAATACAAATTATAACAGTCTCTATAGGTAAAAGGCACTTACAACACAACCAATACAATTTACATTACACGTTGGTATAGTACAAAACTATAATATTTAACAAATACTTTTAAATTTATATAAATAATAAATATATTAGTAGCTGGAAATAAATGCGTGGTCTGTTAAGATCTACAATAAATTATACATTTTGTAGTTTTATTACGTCAAGTTTAAAATTATGAGAGAACTACAGATGAAGATGCATGGTCAATAAAAATGTATATTGATATATCTAAATGTGTAGGAAGTACAGATAGGGAAATCGTTTGCGTTTGGTAAAATTAGAAAAATATCAAGTATTTTGTTAGTTAAGACTTCCTCCAAATATGAACAAGAGTCCTTTTAAACATTTTCAGAACTGCAGAAAGATACTGACTGATAAACGACTGACTGAATACGAGAATATGTAATGATTAGTATTTAATATTTTGGTAGTTTTTAGTATGTTAAATGTTTTACTAATTTATAACAAAAACGTGATGAAATAGAAATAACGTCAATGTGTATTGTTATTATTTCGTAGTGAGGTGACATGACTGTTCGTCATTGTTAATGCCGGGTCATCGACAGCAAATTAATTGGAAATATCAACTTCCTTGTCCATGATTAATTGTTTAATTTGTAATTTCTATAATATGGTATTTAGGCCAGTTATAAATTATTAAAAAGAATGAACATTCACCCAGTTATATGCTACCAAATCTCGTCTTCTCTAATATTTACTCATAACTCGATATTAGAAAAACTATAATTGTTACGTAAAAGTTGAGTTTTTGGTTCGTATGTCCGAAAAAATCTAGTTGTAAATAAGTAATATCAATTGATATATCTCTTAATAATTAAAAAAGACAACATTAATACATCAATCATCATCAACAGCCTATACTAGTCCACTGCTGGACATAGGCCTCTCCTTAGAAAGGAGGTTTTGGCCTACTATACCACGCTGGCCAGACGGGTTGGTATAGGGTTTGTTTCAAGTTTTCCTTCTCTTTCTTTCTTCTCTTTCTTCTTTCTCTTCTCTTTCTTTCACATTAATACATTTCAAAGATAATAATTATATTAAAATACAACAATAATAGTACGCTTCGTTTACACGCAAAATATTAAATACTCAAATCTTTGTAAAATATTGTCAAAAGTCAAAAATACAATTTCCTACCAAGTTTACAAAACTAATTATAATAAATTATTGCTCATTTCTTAATGTACTTCAAAATAAGAATAAAATGAAATGATAATTCTAGATTAAAGTAATAAATAAAGCAAAATATAAATAATATATTAAAGTATAAATTTGTTAAAAATATAATTAGTGTATGTGATTTCTTTCGTGTGTCATTATAGAGATAAAGATTAGATTGAATGAAATATAAGGAAATAGTAGAAATTGTATACAACGGTAGAAACGGACGGTAACATTTACAACCGAATTTTAATTATTACGGATAATTTGTTTATCCGAATTAGTAGTAATTTTTATTTTTCTATTATTTAAGATACGCTCACAGATATATTCATTCAAAAAAGTTTATGCACTTTGATTATATGACATTGCAGCGTCAGGTTAATCACCTTATCCTTGACCCATCTATTCGACTAGTTATCAAGAATGTAAGCACAAAGAACTATAATTTTTGCTTTTTTAACTAAATCTGACTTTAAGATAGTGAGCGTGGCTAAATTATATGCATCTGTCGACAATTATCCATGACAGAACGAAATTTAATCTATCGTTATAGGGTTAAATTATGTACAACAGCTTATTGTATTGTTTTTTTTTATATATATTTAAATTTAGTTTTAAAACGGCAACGGTTCTGTAGAAAATTGTCACTTAATAACTTGTGACGTCACTTGTCGCTGGCACCCAAAAACTTATTTTGAGTTCGGAATGACAAATAACGTGTTTTTATGTAGAAAAATTACTGAAAATATGATTTTTTTCGAATACAAACTAATATTTTACGTTCGTATAGTACCTGTTTCATAATGTTATATTACTATTTATGTTTTTACTCGTATGCACATAGATAAAAAGCACTCGTACAAACATCGGTAGTATGCTATTTATTTAATACAATTTAACAGATCCTTCAGCTAAATCTAGCAGGTTTCATCAGCACGATAACTCAGTCGAAGACAGTAACGCGTTTAATTTAAATATCGGCATATAGTCCCGGAGGTCAGTGCTTGGCGTGCAGCATGTCCCAGAGCGGCAGCTCCTGCAGCGCCAGGTGCAGGTCGCGCTGCAGCTGCGCGGCGAGCGCGGGCGCGGCCAGCGAGCGCGCGGCGCCGCGCAGCCACGCGCACACCAGCGCCGACGCGCCGCTCAGCGGGCCCAGCCCCGTCACGTGCAGGTCCGCGCACCTACCGCGCCCGACACCGTTCTCGCACATTAATGTATTCGAAACTAAATTTAACGGGCGAAATTCCCAAATGTTGGCAGTGGCTTAACGGACATCACATATGCGTCATCATAACTATTGTGCTGTCTCCAGTAATAGTATTATATTCGCCAGAATTTTTGTTAAGATCAGAAATCGAAGGATAATAGATACAGCAAAGTAGTCTAAACCAGATACGATCTAGGGCCAATAAAAATTACTAAATAGATCGGTAGGCCGCAAAAAGTATTCGAAAAGGCCGAAATCACGTGAATTGTTGTTTTTAGATTTTATTCTTTTTTCGTTTTTTGATCTTCTACATTCTATCAATATCAACATGAGTTTTTAAAGAGGATATTTTCTTATGAAGAGGTAAATATCGGTAACGTAGATACATCACTGCGCAAAGGAGCTGGCATCATTATTTTTAAATTTGACATCTACATGTGTCAATTTGGTCTCCGAGATAAAAAAACAAACTATCAAAGGTTTACTCGTTTTTTTTACTACGTATTTTTATGAATATTAACCATTTATTTATTTTATTAGCAACAGATGTCGGAGTAAGTAGACAAATTTAGATTAAGATTTAGAGCGAATGACCTCAAACCTATAGGTATGTTAATATGGAGTTGTGTTTAGAAGAAAAGTTTTAACACGATACCACCCAGAAATAAATGACCTGTATTGTATGCGTGTGGTGATTAAGAATACGGAATGTCATCATCTCTATTCATCCCGTGGGTATTTTAAGAGCAGACTAAGGGAACACACTACGCAGGACAACAGCACTGCAAAGAGAAGGCAAACTTTACACAAACCCTTTTATTTTTTTTTCTGCGCCTGTAACAGGAGGGATCCGGGAACAGCTGTTATTAAGACATCCGGACCCCTCCTAGCGCCAGCCCGCTCCTGGTGCGGGCTCCGTCTCAAAAATTTTTTCCTCTTTAGGCGACGTCCGGCACACGCGGACGCCGCCCCTTCGCGGCTGGCCAAACTAATGCGGGTGGAGGGGAAACCCACCCCGTCCACCCGCGGCCACACTCAGGGCGGCATGAGGCGGTGATAGGCGCGCCTCCGCCGCCCGGTTCGCCGGCGGCGGATCGGGTCCGAGTGGAGGTCGTCCTCCCGGGCCTTCTCCGCCGCCTCCTTCTGCGAGATTACTTCCTCGCAGAAGGTTGCGACCGCGGTAAAACAACTGTCGCTACCGGCCATGGAGCGTACTACGGCCGGTAGCGAGAGATCCACTCCGATGACTGCAGTGAGGGCCCGGCGCTGCGCCGCCCATGCGGGGCAGACCGCCAGCGTGTGCTGGGCCGAGTCCTCACTGCAGTCGCAGTGGTGGCAGGCGGGACTCAGTTCCCTCCTAGCGACCGAGTGTCCGCTCCGTGAGTCTCTCGTTGGCCAACTGTAGGCGAGAGACATCGCCCACCAGGCCCTCCACGACCTCCGACAAAGCGGAGGAGGAGTCCTTAAGGGCCCTCACAAACGAGCCCTTTAGGTTTACGGACTTGGTGGCCACCTTGTGGATGACGGCCACCGCCGCTTTTGCCCTCTCCTGCACGGACACGGGAGCCTGGGGGGCATTTCCCCCCACCGGCTCCCGAACCTTGAGCAGGAGATCCGCGATCTCCTCCTCCGCTACGGCCTCGCCGTCCACTCGTACGCTCCTGTACGACTCCGCGTTTGAGAACGCGGAGCCTGACGGGGTCGAGACCGAGGCTGGTTTACGTGCCCTCCCTCGGCGGCTGCTTGCCACCTCTGGTGGCATCATCTCCTGGGACGTGTCGGTCTCCTCGTCCCTGGAGCGGCCGCGTTTCCGGCTGTCGCTTCGCTCCGCCTCCATGGCCTCCGCGCCATCCGACGAAACGGCGGATCCGGAACGCAAACGATCCGATGCTCTTCGGCTCCCAGAGACCAGCGTCAGAATACCAACCCTAGGCAGGCCAAAACCTCCTTTCTAAGGAGAGGCCTATGTCCAGCACTAGACTTTTATAGGCTGTTGATATATGATATGATATGATCGTATGCAAACTAATTTTTGATTTATGATGTTAAATAGAATAAATCACTGGGATTATGAAAGTAAATTATAATTTCCTAATAATATAGAACATAGCTTTCAACCTATTTTCCTGTTTCTGTTCTCTATTTATTCACAAAATTTGCGCTACAACAACGCGTCAAAACAACTTGATAAATTCTGGGAATGTCTGGGAGTAACCAAAAAGTAATATTCATTTAATATCATTCTATTATTCATAATATAAAAATCTTAAGTTATTTAAGTTTAGTTGCTTTAAAATTTCAATGGAAATAGTTTATATAGTAATCCTACTGTAATAGTAAAATACAGCAATCTTCCGGAAAAAGGCAAGTCCATCTCAGGACATCATGATACAACTTCAATGCAAGTACACAAAATCAATCTACCTACCTCCGACCTCTGGTTGTTAACAGTAAAGATTAATTATAATTTCAATTAAACATACCAAAAAAAACCACATAATATCTAAAAAAACGTCTAGTAACTTCTAAAACTACCATAATAAAGTGATACATACTCTAAACTTTGTACACGCAAGTCGTCCAGTTGCGCGTACGGCTCCCACCGCGCTAGGCCCACCGTCACCGCCAAGTGTAGCGTGTGTCGCTGCAGAGCGGCCGCGGCCCGGCCCGAGCACGACACGCCCATGGCACGGATCCGGTACTCGTCGTATCCGATCTGGAAATTATTCTTTTTATTCTTTATGCACAATTTTGAGTTGTACAATGGCGGACTTAATGCCACGCGCATTTTCTACCAGTCTACATTAGGGTGGAAATAAAATGTGTGACTAGGAGCACTAGACAATGATATGTAAAGTAAAAGAAAATTATTGAGAAGTTAGACAAAAACTATGCGATAAATATACATACATACATACGTACCAAATACATAAACGTACATATTAATAATATATAAAACTTTAAGGTTGTAATAAATCGTACATTACACATAATTAAACCCAATTCCGTTTATCAATAATTCTTACCTGTAGATCCTTTATCCTCAACGTAACTCTAAAGCTAGTCTTCAAGGAGTCCGGCCTGGTGACGCTGACGTCATTAATTCTGTTGATCGTAGCCAAATTCTTCACCCAGCCTGTATCAGTCTCGAATTTGCCTATGAACGATAATGATCCTATCTGTAACAATAATTTCAAATTAGTATACTCAGAACACTGAATAAAGTTTCTTTTTAAGTTAATCCCGAGAATAACCAAAGATAAAATTCAGAAAAATCTTATAAAATTTTGCCCGGTCCGGGAATCGAACCCACTAAAGGCAGCGCTTTGCAAATTCCACGCGAACGAAGTCGTGGGCACCAGCTATTGTACATTAAAAGTCAACTGCTAAATAAAGATTCAACCAATAGCGGTTTAGTCCGTCATTTATCTATAATTTCAAGTAATTAGGTGGATATAGGTAATACGGGATTTGAAGAGTGGAAGTTTCGATAATGTAAATACCTTGTGCATGAACGTAGCATGTAACGGTGGAACTTCAAGTACTTCTCGACAATTCTGCAGAAGTGTTCGCCTCATGTTGATCAAGATCATGTCTATTACTTTATTGCCGTTGTGCGCCAAACTGTCAATCATTGAACTGAAACAATAAGTTAAGAGTAAGAATAGTAAAGACTCCATCGTTATGTAGGTAGCTACGTCTACATACAGCGTCCAATACACTTCAGCACCATCTAGAGACGAACAGCTGAACTATAAGGCAACGATTAATCCTGCATAACGTAATTACACCATTCGACTAATTATTATATATTATGCAACTTTTGAAGCCCAAAATCGATCTAAGTGGCGTGCAGTGGGAGAGGCCTATGTCCAGCAGTGGACTGCGATAGGCTGATGATGATGCAACTTTTAAATACCATGACATCAGCCATCGGGGCCAAAATCTGTAAGACTCTGTAGGAAAATTGTTGTTCTGAGTTTGAGTGTTTTTTGAGTCCATTACATGTACCTATGTTTTTAAAAAATTTCCAAGACAGAATGTATTACTAATGCAGAGTTGTCTTTTATAAAAAAAAGAAACAATTCTTCCTTCACGGCCTCGGGATTTATTTTAGTTAAACGATCACATGAGCCAGCTAGCTTATTTGTCGCGGAGATATCAGAAATTAAACGAAAAAGAAAGCCTTTTCGAGATTGAATCATGTTAAAAGCATTTCCCATTTTCCGGGCAATATTCATTTTTTTTTCTAAAAACCTTAATACTGTTATTAACATAGGTCTGTGATAAGCAATGGATGCAATAGGCTGATTGCTCGACTGTTTGATGATAAAGAGTATAACAAATGCCAAAAACAAATTGATAATTTTTACCTGTAAGCTTGCATCAGACTAGGATTGGAGCACATAAGGTCAGACACGCTGGTCGCTTGCCTCAGTACTAATGCTAAATGCCTTTGTAACTTTTCCCTTAAAAGTGCGTATAAAGGTAACGATATGGCTGCAGTGAGGGGTAAGTCATCTGAAACACAATAAAAGCATAATAAAGCCACCGAAGGTAGAAATGACCTACTTTTTCTTTTAGTTATTTGTTATTTATCATTTTTGACACTGAAGCAGCGACTATTTTGACAGTGTGCATTTTTCTAAGTGAAACAGACAGCCCTTTCTTTAACTCCCTTCAAATTTATCATTCTTCATGCAGGACAATTAATTTGCGTAATTTTTTCAATCTACCTCATCCACGATTAAAGAGCGGCAATATTTTTATAGTTTTTGAGAATTTCTGTTGAGAGTATCTCAGAAATTTTTTAAACATTTTCTTAACATAATCCAAAACTAATTAGACTGAACTAATATAATCCGTTTCAAATTAGAATCAGTTTCACGTCGTTTAAAGGATTTTGACAACTAGACATTAACCTTGTATACCTACAAATTTAACAGCTCAATAATTTAAAATAAAAATTGTGTTTCATTAACTGTGTGTTTATTTTAAACAATTAGGTGTGTTATCTGCTAAAGTACATTGTGTTATCGTGTAATATAACACCATTATCGAACCGCTAGTGATAATAAACACATTCCCATATAAACAGCTTTGTAAAACCGTAGTTTTTGAGGAATTGGTTCCGTCAATGAAAGATGGCAAGATACCGACAAGGCTAAGCTTTGTGACAACTACTTGAAAATAAATATTGTATGAACATGTCAGTGTAAATTTTTTAACAATTAAATCATGATTAAATTTCGATGTAGATACAAATCTATCTAAATATCAAGTTGTTCCTTAGTATTCTTTTAACCTATATAGGAATGCGGTGTTATCCGCGGTTGTTGTTGTACCTTTTTCATCCCACCATTTCATTTCATCTTTCGGGATAAGAGTAGCCTATGTGTTATTCCAGACTACAGGTAATCTATCTCTGTGACAAATTTCATCCAGATCCATTCAGCCGTTTTCGCGTGAAAGAGTAACGAACATCCATACAAATTTTTGCCTTTATAACATAAGTAAGGTTATTATTAATATTTACGAAACCTTTAAAATGAATAAGTTCTGTCTATCTTAAGAGATAACCGTTGGGGAAAACTTTAGCAATAAAAATGCAGTTGTTTGAGGCTTGCCAACCATTAGAAATATACCATTAATGTATCTTCTTATCGTACCCGTAGATATCACATTTTCGAAGTAATGTTAATGCAGTATGTTTTAAATAAATCTAATAAAAAAATATTGAGAAAATTGTGATGATAGATGTCTGCAGACATGCTGACCAGAACTCCTGCGCCGTGCAAAAATCTGTCCTTACAAATATTTGTGTTCAGCGAATATTGAGGCGTAACTGATAGAACAATTAATTCAATACTAACACACCTATATGTTTTGCTAACTGCTCTGTCGTCGCGAAATCATAGCCACCGTTTCTTTGAGGTGACGGCCACGACAACTGCAACATAGAAAATATCACAACAGGTAAATAAAACAGTAATTTAGTTGTAGTTTTGCAATTAAATTTATTGCGACCTCGTTAGGATTGAGAAATTAGACAATTATCGGTGCACAGTGGTGATTTTCGTATTCACTTGTGATCTTATAAGTTTTATTTATAGGCCAATTTTCCTTGCATTTTTAGACAGGACAAAGAAAGGAGGTAAATTGTTGTAAGGAAAACGCATAGGTACCTACGTGGGAGAGCCATGCTTCGACACAAATGGGCCAGTCCTACCGAAGTGATACCACGGCTTCACAGAAAACTGGTGTTAAACTATTCTTTCGTTGCTTTTCACCGAGTGAGTGGGGTTCATCATCATCATCAACAGCCTTTAGTAGTCCACTGCTGGACATAGGCCTCTCCTTAGAAAGGAGGTTTTGGACGGGTTGGTATAGGGCCGAGCTGGCGGACCTCCGTGCGGCCTGTACACGTGCCCGGAGGTCCTACACGCGCAGTCGGCGGCGTCACCGTGGAGACGGTGAGGAGGACCGGCTTCATGAGGAGTACCGACGGGCGCGGAAAACTCTGAAGCTGGCCATTAGCCGCGCCAAAGAAGAAAAAAGACAGGAGATGCTGGAGGGTCTTAATCGTGACCCCTGGGGTCGCCCTTACTGCGCGGTGCGACAAAAGCTCCGCGCGTCGGGCCCCCCCCTTACGGAGACTCTCCAGCCCAGCTTCCTGCGAGAAGTGGTTGAGGGCCTTTTCCCACAACGGGCGGAACACACTCCCCCGTCGATGGCCTCCCTGGCCGGAGACGACGGGGAGCACGGGGAGGATAATGTTCCGCCCGTCCGGGATTCGGAGGTAGGGGCGGCTGTTCTACGGATCCGTTCCAAGAACACCGCCCCTGGGCCAGACGGGGTACCGGCCCGAGTGCTGGCCCTGGCCCTCAACCACATGGCAGACCGCCTCGGGGAGGTGTTCGACGCTAGCTTGGCGTCGGGACGCTTCCCTGAGTGCTGGAAAAGCGGGAAGCTGGTCCTATTGAGGAAGCCGGGACGGCCTGCCGATTCGGTCGCGGCCTATAGGCCCATCGTGCTGCTGGACGAGGCGGGCAAATTGTTTGAGAGGGTTCTTTCTGCCCGCATCGTCCGGCACCTCTGCGAGGTGGGCCCCGATCTGTCGGACGCCCAATTTGGTTTTCGGGCGGGGCGTTCGACAGTCGACGCCGTGTTGCGCCTGAGGGCCGTGACCGAAGAGGCCGTGAGCTGTGGCGGCGTGCTGTTGGCGGTGTCATTGGACATCGCCAACGCATTCAATAGTCTGCCATTCAGCTGCATCAGGGAAGCACTCCACTATCATGGGGTGCCAAAGTACCTGAGGCGGCTAGTGGCAGACTATTTAGAGGAGCGTACCGTCGTGTACGAGGACCGAGAAGGTAATCTGAGGTGTCGGCCCATGTCGTGCGGTGTTCCACAGGGGTCTGTTCTTGGACCCCTCTTGTGGAACATAGGGTACGACTGGGCCCTTCGCGCCGATTTCCCCACCGGGCTGGGTGTAATCTGTTACGCAGACGATACCCTCGTGACAGCCCGGGGGGCAAACTTCCAAGAGGCGGCGCGCCTGGCCACAGGGGGAGTCTCCCTGGTGGTCGGGCGCATTGAGGCGCTGGGCTTACGGGTGGCCCTAGATAAGACGGAGGCCCTGTTATTTCATGGGCCCCGTCGTGGTCCACCCCCTGGCGCCTCAATCGTGGTCAACTCGGTCCTCGTACCGGTTCGGGCCCAGATGAAATATCTGGGCCTGATCCTCGACGGGAGGTGGCTCTTCGACGAGCACTTCCGACAGCTTGCTCCAAAGCTGGTCGGCGCTGCGTCTGCCCTAGGGCGACTTTTGCCCAATATGGTTGGACCCAGCGTCGCGACAAGACGGCTGTACACGGGGGTTGTCCGGTCAATGGCACTGTACGGTGCACCGGTGTGGGCGGCGGCTCTGACCGCCCAGAATAGGGTACGCCTCTGGCGCCCTCAGAGGGTAATGGCGGTCAGAGCCATACGCGGTTACCGCACCGTTTCGACGGAGGTGGCATGCGCATTGGCCGGAACTCCCCCGTGGGATTTGGAGGCGGAAGTGCTCGCCGAAGTTTATCGGCGAGTGGCTGACTTCCGGGCGGAGAGCGGATTTCGCCCTCCGCCCGAGGATGTGCGCGAGTGGCGCGAAGCCGCTCGCCGAGCCACGATGGCTCGTTGGTCGTTCCGGCTGGAGACTCCACGCGCTGGCTTCGCCGCCGTGGAGGCTCTCCAGCCGGTCATCGCCGAGTGGGCAGGGCGGCAGCACGGGACCCTTTCCTTCCGACTGACGCAGGTGCTTTCCGGGCACGGTTGCTTCGGAAAGTACCTGCACACGGTCGCTAGGAGGGAACTGAGTCCCGCCTGCCACCACTGCGACTGCAGTGAGGACTCGGCCCAGCACACGCTGGCGGTCTGCCCCGCATGGGCGGCGCAGTGCCGGGCCCTCACTGCAGTCATCGGAGTGGATCTCTCGCTACCGGCCGTAGCACGCTCCATGGCCGGTAGCGACAGTTGTTTTACCGCGGTCGCAACCTTCTGCGAGGTAGTAATCTCGCGAAAGGAGGCGGCGGAGAGGGCCCGGGAGGATGACCTCCACTCGGACCCGATCCGCCGCCGGCGAACCGGGCGGCGGAGGCCCGCCTACCACAGCCTCATGCCGCCCTGAGTGTGGCCGCGGGTGGACGGGGTGGGTTTCCCCTCCACCCGCATTAGTTTGGCCAGCCGCGAGGGGGCGGCGTCCGCGTGTGCCGGACGTCGCCTAAAGAGAGGAACAAAAACATTGAGACGGAGCCCGCACCAGGAGCGGGCTGGCGCTAGGAGGGGTCCGGATGTCTTAACAACAGCTGTTCCCGGATCCCTCCTGTTACAGGCGCAGAGTGGCACACCGTGTGGTTTTAGTCGGTCCGAGTCCGACACACCACCCCGCCGCAAACCCCGGAGGGGTGACGGTCCGAGGGGATTTCCACACGTTAAAAAAAAAAAAAAAAAAAAAAGGGCCAAGTTTTCCTTTTCTTTGCAGTTCGAGGAAAGGTTGGCTAGGTGAACCAACCAAGCTCCTTGAAGAAGCGCAGAAGCTTCATGGGGCGTACACAGGCTTCTAGGCTTTCACAGCCACCCTGTGCAAAGAGGATTGTCGGCCGCAATAATGGTGAATAGTTGTCGGATCAGGGCTAGGTGTCCTAAGACCAGAGTCGAAGGAGGTATACTAGGGAACTTTATAGATGGTATATGGTCGGCCCAATAAGAATGAAAGATAGTGGAGTAGAACGACTATGTAACATTTGAATATATATAAACAGCCTGCCTTTGAAACAACTAGAACAATAAAATTATGGTCTTACCTTCATAAGCACTTCATCGTGCGTGAACTCAATGCCAGGATTGATGAAGGAGAATGCATCATCCTCTAGGAAAAGGCCCACATTTACATCTGCGATCATGTTTGATAATGATATTCTAGAAGCGGTATATAATGTATAAATAATTATTAATATATTTATATGAAATAGTTTTGACTTTCAGTTTTAATATGTAAGTAATATTCACATTAAAACCAATTCCTAGATAAAAAAATTATAGATATTTAAATTTTGGGAAAAATTGCATTTTTTTAACATTTATTTTGTATCTGAAAAATTGTAATCCGTAAAGATATGTGAGTAACTGCTACTGGTTTGATAAATTATAAATTTATTATTGTGTAATTACAATAACACAGAAACTTTGACCTGATGCTGCAACACTATCAGGAATCTTTAATGAGGTGTATGGTAGATTATAGATGTATATACATAAATAATATTCACCCGGAATATTTATAAACATATCCCAAAAACTATAATATTTTCACTGTGTAGTCCTCAAAGGCATTTCATTAATAATACATCTTATTATTTGCATAAGATGTAGATGACCAAAATCATACCAAAAAAAAACATTCTGTTTTAAAAAAACTGTTGCATCTTTTAATAGTCAGTGATAAAAAGTATCATCTAAATATTTAAAAATGTTGTGTACAAACTTCATAAACTCAAAAAGTTCTGCACCAATTGAGCTTTTGATAAAATATACAAACCGCTTCAAAGGTTGTTTTTATTTACTTATCCCACCAATTTTGTAATTTTGTTGTAGTATTGTATAATTACATTCACACAAACGTTTAGATTAAATTTTAAAGCTATAAAATTTTATCTATACAACAATATCTATGGTCTGTTTTGGACTATACATTTTAACTGGGTACCCACCTTGCTAGACATCATAAAGTGTGCACAGTCCTGTACAAGTAATATATTGGCATTAATTACTGATTTTATTTAATTTATGGATAAACAGGTAGTTTTGCACATAAACATAATTAAATCCAGTTATAAATAATGCAAGTTATTATAAACACATCACATTGTTTATAATAAGTGCAAACAATATAATGATAAAGAAATGATTAAGATGCTTGAAGCACAAAGAAATGTAAAGTATACCAAGGGATAAACTACAGGTTTTTTTTTCTTTTGAGGATAGTATTGATTACTGTCTTTATTCTTGATATCAATGTCAATCTTTAGAACAGATTGTATCCATTTGATCTCTGATTAATCAATATATAATCCAGAAAATGATTGAAAATAAAACATCACTATTGATAATTTACATTTAATTAATACAATAGAAATGCCATTAGCTTAGGAATAACCAACTGAATAAGAGAATGATTTTATTCTTTCAAGAAATAGTAATCATGGAGGCCTGTTTCCACCCTCACATTCACCAAAACTTTTTTTTTATGGAATGGGGAAAGCGACTAGCGACGCCCATGGACGCCTGTAACTCAGGAGTCACAAACGTTCAAGTCAGGTTGCTTGAATATAATAATAATAAAATTCTACCACATTCACACAACCCCATCTAGTCCCAAACTGAGCAGATCTAGTACTATGAGTACTAGACAAGTGATTTAAATACATTTAACTTTTTTTGTAAATACATATTTTACATCTAAACACCCAAATGTTTAACTTAAGTGGGAATCGAACCTTTGGAGTGAGCAGTCCGTTTCCACTAGTTCAATCAATCAATCAAATCAAATCAATTAGATCTTATGATCTTAGAAAAGATCAAATTAGATTAACACATCCCTAAAACCAGTATATATGTATATATATGCAACCAATTTTTATACTACCTGAAAGTGATCAAGTGAGATAGTACTTATGTCTGATATAGGAAATTTCAGTATAGTGCAATTTAGGGTAATGTTAGAATAGTAATAATAGGCAGCTGGTTCGTGGTATACCTGCAACGTAATAATCCTTGAAAAATATAAAATGATCCTTGATAATACAATTTGCCTCTGTGGCACAGTGGTATCATATGCGACTGCTGTTCCGAGGTATGGACCTATTCCCGGGTCAGACCCAATGATTGTATGCTCTGCAAATATTTGTTTTGGAGTTTGGGTGTTTTCTATGTATAATATGTATATATTTACATAAAAAAGTATTTAAATATTCTCTCAGTCAATCTAGCTTTCATAGTACAAGCTTTGCTTAGTTTGAAACTAGATGGCGTTGTGTGTTAGATGCCTGAAATATTATTATTATTATTTTTTAAATTTGTGATAGTATATTATATGCTTGATTTAAATAATTGGGTATTTTAAAACAATTACCATCAGTGAATTTAATTGACACAGAAAACTAAAGAATTAAAAAGAACTAATATAACCCAGGTGAAAATGACGAACTTGGTACTATTCTGAATTTTGGCCTATTGTTTAGTGAGCCTGAATAGTGAGCCAAGAGTTATGGGTTTGATTTTCAAAAACTAACTTTTGAACTATCACTAACCTTGGAATTGCCTTACTTCTCAACCATGTTGCAATTCAGGGTGTATGCTTAAAACCTATTATGAGTGTATTTCTCATTCTAATAAAAAAAGTATTAATTGAGCATGACCATTTATTATTTTGTGTCTTGGTACAATTTTCTACAGTAAAAAAGTGTATATATTTATTAACATATAGGTAAAGGTTCTGTTCTGCCTAGTTTAGAATTAGTCATGTTTGAGATGTCTCAAGTCATTATTATTATTTTGATCCCAAACTAGGCAGAGCCTGTACTATGGTAACAAGACTGCTGATCAACATACTTATATATTTCTAAATACATACATATTATAGATAAATTACACCCAGACACAGAACAAATGAGTGTTCATCACACAATATTGTGATAAGAACAAAATGTAAATGTATATTTATTTTCTTTTCACAAAATAAATTTTTATTTATATCTTAAATCATAAATGAAATACTTACAATACATGTCCTTCAGCCATGACCGGTATAAGATTGTAGAGGTTCTCGTTAAATGCACTGTACAGTCCTTTCACATTGACTTCTCCAAGTGAGCACTTCAATGTCAATGCCATTGACTTTAAGTCCAGTGATAGTGTTTGCATGTGGAATGTTGGTACTTTTACCAGTTCCAAACGAGATAAATTACTGAAAAGTGAATTTATACATAAATTAAGCTGTCAAGTACAACTTAATTTATGTATAAATTCACTTTATGAATTGTCAAAAGTGAATTTATACATAAATTATAGTCAAGATTTTAGGAAGAGATTTTAGAAGATTTTTTCCTATATTTAAAAAAATGGAATTTAGAAAACTATGAGTTTGTATATTTTATATTGTGTGCAAATATTGGTGATGTTTAAGAATTTGAACATTTTGATAAACAAAAATTGTAATAAATTAGTGATCTGAAATAAATGTAGGAGAGAAGATTGGATTGTAGCATATTGTTTATGCTGAGTGGTTGAAAATAAAAACCTAAATTATAAAGCAATTCCTTTTTGATTTTGCGATATAGAAGAGTGCAGCAATTGCACACTGCCAGAGAAATAAAATATAGACTTTCAAACCTACGTTAAACCATAAAAAACTGCTAAAATTAAAATAAACTAAATAAATTCTTACACTTGTGTATTTTTTGCAAAATAGGATGTGTCTGCCAGTGTATCTGGTTTGAGTTGCTCGCCATTTTTCGTCTGCTGCAGAGCCACGTTTGTAAAACTCTACAACCAAAAGTTGATGATCAGTCTTCTATTATAATGATTGGCTACGACAATAATTTGAAATCATATTTACCCTTTTAATAACATCTTGCAAGTTTGGTTGGACTTTAGTTAAGAGATCGCTTAATTCCTGTTCAATATCTACTACAGGTTCTTCGTCAGTCATCTTTTAAATGCATTACCTTACATTTAAAGGCACGGCGAGGTTTTACTTTAATTATATTTATCTAACTCAACAAGTATAAAAGCAGCAGTAAGTGAAACATATTGCTTTTGAAGCTGACGTACGTTTGACAGCTGACAGAAATTGATGTGTTGTCAATGTCAAGATTAGTTTATTAGTATAGTTGATTTTTGTCATATATAATTTGACATATTTACCTTTGGCACTTATACGTGTAGTTTAGTTATAAATCGATAAATTAGATTTTTTATATACATGTTATTTACTAATTTAGAAGATATAAAACATTTGAAATAGGTGTAATTTCTGCTACAGATCGAGTCCGTAAAAAATAAATTTTAGGTTGAGGAACCAAACCGTTAACCGTTTGTAGCCTTAGAATACTCAGTTTTGGAATGAAGTCATGGTAAATCATCAAATTTTTAGAGTGAGTAGCTAACATTAAGCAAATAAGGACTATACTTTTGCAATCAATAGGGCACGGAGGCTATCAAGCTTATTTCGAGTATAGGCTTCACTAATTCTTGTAAAATATAACTACCACAGTATCGCCATGTCCGTCCACCTTACTGCGTCCTTCCTCTGAGATTCTAGGTTATGGAAAACTGTAATTTGGCCTTTCTTTTATTACATTTTATTTAAGCAACGCCCCGCATTTTACGGTCTAATACATATTACTACACTTTTTAGTTGTCCGAGATAAGTATATAGGATAGTAATGTTTGGCCGATCTCCCTTAAATCTTATGATTATTCCAAACCTTATTCCAGGAGTATATAATTCATTTTACTGTTTTGACAAAAGTGTGATTTTTCTTACAAGTAGTAACCGATCAATACCGTACCTACTTTGTATTGATCAATCTTACCTAAAATCTACACCAATTTTGTATAATTAGCAGTTTTTAGAGTAAGGTTTGCTATAAAAGAGCTGGTAAGTGACGCAGTGATGTATAGTAACAAATTCACTTAAAAAAGGTTATAGTGTTTGACTATACCTAGGTTTCTACGACCGAAGCTTAACAAGAGAGATAAGCACAACAGACTTATCAAAACTAATTTCCAGATTCTGGAATTCCCGAATATGGAATTTTTATTTTGAAGGTTTTTATTTATCGCAGCCCAAACCTCCCCCCTTCTCCGTGACCCGTTTGTTCGCTTTCTCCTTATTCCTACCGTAAAAAATATATTCATAGAGAGTTTTATAGCATATGCAATTGGCAGTATTAAATAAGTGTGTCAACATTAAATGTTAGGTCTAACAGCAAAAACGGGGCGGGAACGTAGTTTGATCTTCGTTCTCGAATAGTCGGGTTTTCGGGAAATATATATAAGAACAACGATTTATTAATTTTCAACTTTATTAACAAATACCTTAATTAATCTAAATAAATTCAGTTACACGTACATGATATTTAGATAGATCTATAGTTGTAAACCTACGTTAAAAAACATTTAGAAGAATTAAAATAAAATACACTAAACTACTCAGTGACAGCAAAACTGACAAAAATTCGACGTAGAAACTTTAAAGTTTCGTCCTTCCCAGGAAATAATATACTTAAAGCGTAGCTTTGCAGATGCTCTCAATTAATTATCTCTCTATCTTTTTTTCGGAGAAACAAAACGGCTACATCCTACAAACTTTTCAGACCCCATTTCAGATCATGGACAAAATCAAGGTTTCTAAGCTAAGATAGCAAGATTATTTCTTATGTATCATGACAAATAATATACATACTGGACCCTTATTAATTAGTCATGTTTCAATAATTTTTTACTTGTGTTTAAAAAAATAGCTTTCTGCAGTTCTTCTACATAATATAAACATGAATTATCCAAAAAAATAACCAGATTTATTTCCGTGCGCCATATTTGTATACAAATGTTGTAAATTAAAAGTAAACAATAAACTTCATTAAAGTGTAGGTCTTTAAAAATATTAACCTGGAACAAAAGATTACAAATTTACTTATGCTATTTCTATATCCAGAAAATGGTACTAAAATTTGCAGTATTTTTTAGTTTGCCTTGGTTTATGAGTATGAGTAAATAATGTATTTAATATTATTAGCTTGTGTTTCTGCTACAAGTTGCAAAGAATTTTGATGTTCGGTCGATGAGTCAGCGACAAAATTTAAAAACTGAGACTTGAACATGGTGTTCAAAAAACAGACTCGAAATCAGTGAAATAGGAAATTTTCCAAACCGAAATGAAGACTTTTTGGTGTCACCAAGTGCTGTAGAAACCATTTTGCCAGACTATGAGTATGTTGACATAAAGGCAGACACATTTTACTATACATAACTACTTCTCACTCGCTTAAAATATAATTCTTTGTTCGTATCATTTTTTCGTACATTCAGTCACTCATTAGTTACTTACCACAGATTAGGAGCGTTTTGAGTAATTGTGTGGTATGTACTATGGAATTCGACATAATAGTAGCGATCTCGTGATGCAATATATATTTGAATTTTTTCATTACTACTTTGGCAGCGCCTTCTATTGTAATAGCATCTGCCCTGAAATTGAAAAGTTTTTTTTGTATTGGCTTTAAGTTGTGTGTGTCCTCTTACCAGGAGAGTAACTTTTCCTGTCCAATTTGTCTTTACCTACAAATCGGTTTAGTACAATTAAAAGACTGAACTATAGACCATTGTTTTTATTAGAGTCATCAGACGATAGCGACTATACTTTTGTTGGATTACAAATAATGAGTGCACGGTGGCTCTTAATCGCCGTGGTCGCCATTCCGTCTGGCCAAGTGCCCTGACCACTCCACTTAAGCCTCGCAATCCGTATACCTACAAGATTAAATCCAGATAAGATTTAATCCGGTTACAGCTAGTTTTCCTTTCCAGACTTTTAGTATTATATATATATATATAAACATACATACATATATATATAGAGAGCAACGATACGCGAGTCCTAACTATTCCAGACATTTGATTTTTGCAGTTTAATAGTTAAAGGGGTTTTCAAGACGCGCCTGACTTTTGCAAGGTCTTTCGAATTATTAGAGTTCGATGGTACGATGAGAAATGTAATAGTATTAGGAAGAGAATAATTATACCCCATTCGATTTAAGAAGTCGATGTCTAATTCCAAAATTTTCGTCTTATTTAATAATTCCAGAGTTATATGGGCAGTTTGTTGATTAGCTGACATAATAAGTAGTCCGTTGAGAGTCGGTGCTGTTTGCGAGCTTAGGGGGAACTGAATTTCGTATGCGTATAAAACCTGCAAATAATACGCACATGTTAAATACCATTCTTGGTCCACCACTGTTGATTTAGTGGTTGGTGATCCTGTCTGATAAGCCAGAGGTCGTGAGTTCGATTCCCACTCATGACAAATAATTTCGTGATGGGTAAGATCATTTGTTCTGTGTCTGGGTGTAATTTATCTATAATATCTATGTATTGAGAAGTATTTAAGTATGTTTATCAGCAGTCTGGTTCCCAAAGCATAGGGTCTGTGTGAAGTTATTTTTAATATAAATATTTTTGTAATGTATTATTTATGACCAGGAGGATTTTTGCAAAAGTATTACGGTTCATTTGATGATTAAATTGAATTTCAAAACATCAACAGCTGTTATAAATGCGCTTACGAATTAAAGATATAAAGTATGACAGTATGACTTACCAGAGTACACACATGTGAATGCAAAAACATTGCTCTAAGCATATAGTCGCTAAATTGTGGATGAAAGCCGCTAAAATACTAGTATTTTTTTCTTTTAGAGGGGCTAGACGAGCATACAGGTCACCTTTAGTATATACTAAAGTACAGTTGGGCACAGGAAACTTCTGTTAAAGTGAAACTCAAGAGTACATCATGATCATCAACAGCCTTTAAGAGTCCACTGCTGGACATAGGCCTCTCCGTAGAATGGAGGTTTTGGCCTACTATACCATCCTGGCCAGACGAGTTTGTTTCAAGTTTGTCTTCTCTTTGCGGTGCTGATGTTTTGCAGAGTTTTGCTCCCTTAGTCAGCTCTTACGACACCCACGGACACGGCGTATTCTTTATCCGTCACCACAAGGCCTTGTCAAGATTACAATTGCAATAAATGTGGTCCGTTGAGGGTTTCGGCCTGTATGTCTGATCTGTATCGTGTTTTATATACGTACAATCGTACATACATGAAGAGAGAGAGAGAAATGGCATAGGTATGTGCACCATATATTATCACTTAATTAGTTCAGAGAGTAGTATGTTTCATTGCTACCACAGTCGCCTACCTTCAAGTCTCTAAAGCCAATGATAGTATCCACATTGAGAATGTTTTTTTTCTTCTTTAAGATTTTGGTAGCCTGCGATCGTCTGTACATGGTGTCAAGGCCTCGTAAGGTGCCGGCGTGGATCCAAATACTCTGAAAATAAGGTTTTGAACGAGAATATTTGCTGGCCAATATTATATTATTATTCAATTCCTTTTTTAATTTACGTAGTAAATTAGAATGTATATTATGTATATATAGTAGCGTCTGTCTATCCGAAGGAATAAGTAGGTGTATTGTATAAGTTTAATTTTTATTAAATTTAATTTCCTTACTATTTGACAAAACAGAGATTGTTGCTATTGTGTGTGTTGATCTATGACTTTAAAGTCTACATAAAAGACGATTTAAAACAATTTTAATTTTTAAGAGACTCATGTACAAAAAATTATTCCTACTTACTTAGTACAAGCCTATTACTGTAAACTAGGCATTTTGTGAATTAAAGATGGCAGAAGAGAGTTATATTGAAAGTGAAAGATAGAAGAAAAGAAGAAAAAAAAAGGATGTAAGGACAAAGGTATGTAACTTAAACTGTTCGTTAAAGTAAAGTTGAAGTCATATTCCTATATTAAGAATACGTATTTTTATAAAATAAAGTAAAGGCTACCATATTGTGCGAAGCTGTGATTTTGAAATTTGGAATGCGCACTGTGTCTCCTACAATATTATGTAGCTTGTTATTCATCCTAATTAAGGCGTTGTCCACGAATTTTGCGAGCTGGCCGCCTTTGTGTTGATCGTATTCTCTGAAATATAAACGATACCTAATATTTCTATTATATAACCATTATTTAAAAAAAACTCTCAAAAAGACTCCAAACACCAAACTCCGAAATAAATATTTGCAGATCATACAAACATTTGGTCCGACACAGGAATCGAACCCAAGACCTCAGCACAGCAGTCGCATACGCTGCCTCTGCCCCTCCGAGGCAGTCAGTCTATGTTCAGCAGTGGACTGTTACAGGCTGTTGATGCTGATGATGATGAGAACTTTCATTGCGTGATGTAGAGTTAGTGGTTACTCCATAATTTGATGTGTTCTCGTTACATGTTATACAAGTACATTTTCCATTGTATATGTAAATCCCCAGAGTATGTATGTTTTAAATCCTGGGCGAGCCATGATTTGATCACATGTTGGTTGGCTGGACCGCGGTTTTAGAACAGCTTCGCATTTTTTAAAATTAAATTATGTAAAAAATTAATTAAATTATGTACAGAGTTGTTATTTATTTCTAATCTCGCCAAACTTTTACGTTTGAAGACGATACGCGCTCTTTTACATAACAAGGACCACCTTATATACACTTAATATTAGACACAATTACATAATGTAGTAAAACCGTTGTTAAGTATTTTTTTGTTGCTTTTCACCGAGTGGTTACTGGCAGTCCATATCCCCCTTTTTTTTTCCGTGCGGATCCTATCGGTGGCATGTCGGACTCGAACCGATTAAAACCGCACGCCGTCTCGGGTACTAATAGCCGGGGAACCAGGTATAACCTAGAAAGGAAGTCCCTGGTGCCCCGACATACCTCGGGCCATCGACAGACGAGTAGACGACCCCCTCCGTGTGGGAACCCCATGTTCCCTCTGCTCCCTGGAAGCGAGCGCGCTTCGCAACGCGCTCGCCGCCACCTCGGCCTGCTTCTGCTAGGGTGACAGATGAGTCCATATCCCCCTAATCCTTGAATAGCACACAACGGGCGGTAAAACACTTGTCTCTATAAAAAAACGCAAGTACGTAACGTTTAAAAACGTATAATGAAAACGTACTAACTTAACTTTTATAATGTTTTATTTTGTCATGAATACTTAGGAAAATTGTGTTTATTTAAATCATAAGTTTTGATTCGAAATACTTACCGGAGCTTCAATATAGAAGGAACGTTTTCAAGGTTTGTGACTGTTAGATACTCATTGAAATAGTCTTGCACCCATTTATCTAAATCAGCTTTAAGCCTTAACATGAAATCTCCTGCAAAAAAAAAACCACATTAACCTGTTAAAAAGAAACCACCTACGACTCCATCGTCCATAAGCGCAGGCTTGGGGGTGACAGGTCTCACCGTCATCATCGGGTAATGTGCAAGCCGTACGTGGCCCGGGGTCTGTCAGGGTGCCAGGGGTTTCTTTCCTAGGGTACACCTGGTTCCTGGGCTATGGTACCCGAGACGGCATGTTCCTTTTAGTCGATTCGAGTCCAACATAATCAGCGGTGGTATCCGAGGGGATTGTCGCACATAAAGAAAGGTTCATTTGTGTACTTACATCACTCGTCTCTCTCCCGTCTGCTCGTAAATAAAACTTAAAAAAAAGAAATACAGTTACATAACAAAATTTGAATTTGGGATTCTCGTGTCTCTGTTCTGCTCGTCACTCTACCACGCATTAGAACGTCGCTTGACTGAGTATCACCTTTATGAAGAGCACAAACTTACTACCAAACTTATACTTACCCATGTTTTGTTTATCTAGCCATATCGGTGGATCAGTTTTGTTTGCATTGGAGTGCTGAAATATCATACAAATTTTTATAATCTTTAGAGTTTAATTTCTTGTCTGGTTACGTCATTCTTTACACATTGGTGTTAGGATAGTACATAACTGTTTGTTAAATATAAGGTACAGAGATTGAATCTATAAATTATTTTCTATCTATTCTTTCTCTCTAAGGTCATGTAGGTTACTAGTGCAGCAATTCCTTAGGTACTATGAGGTGCTTCTACACGGTGCAAGTAGTTGGAGCGGGTAAAGACGAGGGTAATTTGCGTTAGTAGTATGCACAAGTTACTTGCTCGTATCTAGTAGGTCTTGCTAGTTTCCGATTTGAAACAGTTCAGTACCAGGGTGCTTGTACACGATGTAGAGCTAGCTCGTTAGTTAGTTAGCTAGAGCAAGTAATCGAGTCCAAATGACTCAACGAACGAGAATTCTTGTGGAATCATTTCTTAAAAATGTTATTTAGCTAATTTAATAAATATAGCGCGCACTGCAAATCGTGTGGGTTACGTACGGGGGCGGCTCGCGCTGGTGCATGCTCGAGTCGCTGGACTCGCTTATAACTAGCTCAAGTTGAGGCACTTCAATCAAATAAACAAACTCTTAAGATTTTTAATAATAGTATAGATTCAATGATCGACGTTTCGGGATAGCGTGAGAATTTAATGGATTAATGACGGCTTACAGTCAGCGCAGTCAACATCTGGAAGTTTGATGTTATAAAATCGAGTTCACACTATCAAAGCATTCAATATCGATAAAAGGGCATAAACTCCTATAAAATGAACAATAGGGTACCGTCAACGTAATAAATTTAGTATCGAGAGTTGAAACGATAAGTTCGATAGCTAGTCTGTCCTTTTTCATTGTGTAGCGGCCCTCTACCGTGTAGTGTACATCTTCCATAAAGACTCTGAAATAAGACACTTACAATAATACATCTTAATCGGAAAATTTGTCAGAAAGCTTTATTTTCTAAATGAGCTGCAATAATAAATAATTAAAACATTTAAAAAATTAAAGTCAAATATATTCAGGTTTCAAAGTCTTTTTTAAACTGTTTTACCAGAAAACACAGCTAATGCTAGAGCTTTAATGGCTATACAAAGTACATACAAATTCCAAAAAGGGACTCAAAATCTAATAGTAGTGAGGAACATGAATTACTAATATTATTACAATGTATGGTACATTTGCAATGTATGGTGCAGATTTCAATTTAAAATCTAAGAGAAAAATAAAAAAAGAGCTTTACCAGAAGAATCGACAGACAGAGAATTAAAAGGAAACAAAAATATCAGTTATGTATTTGAGTAAGCATAAGCAAGCAAGAGAAGGAAAACTCGAAACAAACTATACCAACCCGTCTGGCAAGCTTGGTATAGCAGGCTAAAACATCCTTTCTAGGGAGAGGCCTGTGCCTGTGTCATGATGATGATGATTTGGGTAAGCATACATATATATTTAGGTTCTTAGTCAAAATATTATGTTCCAACTTACTGAAGTTCTCCATACGAATTGGTATGTTTGAGTATTGATGGATCTTTAGCCATTAGGGAGCGATCGTAAGCTTCTGTTAGATTCAAATTGTTGAACAAAAGCTGTCCTTTAAGTACCATATTGTCAATATCGTTGTGCAGATCCTTTAGTTGGAAGAATGTGTCGTCACTAAGTTTCAAACGGTGTAAGTAACTAAAAAGAAAATACATTCCGAGACTAGGTAAAGGACTAGGCAAAGAATACAGGTTAATTGCTCCCCTTGTAAAGATCGCAGGTCGATAGTGCATAAAGACCATTTCATTAAGGGATGCCTTTGCCCAGGAATGGACGTCCTGGGGTTGCGAATTAAAATTAATTTTTAATAAATAGTTTCAAAGAACAGTATAGGAATTATAAACTATCTACATGACAGTGTCTTATAGTACTGATGGGTGGGGCCATCAGAGCTGCCTTTGCTCCAGATCCAGAAAGCTATTATGGTTACCTCCTTTTGTAATAGAGCCTTTAATAGCGGTAGTAATCACCGTCAGCTAGGCGGGGTTGTGTCTGATTGTCAGCTAATTTATGTGAAAAGATGTTTGTTCTTATTGTGCTCTATGACGATGCAGAGATTGAATCGCAACCAATATACTCGTACTTCAAATATCTACTTGATTACTCAAATACGGTGTCTTTTGACATCTGATGAAATGTAGTAAAGGTCTAATATAATACAATAAGAGTTAGTATACTATATGTCTTTACTTACAGAACTGAGTTTTGCAAAGACATAACACATAAACCGCCGAGGTTCATTCCTGAAGGGATTTTAGCTAGGTAACGCCTTTGTTCAGGACTGTCTCGGTGATCAACAGTGTCTTCGTCCGAAAGTTTCTGTATGTACAACAAAATAAGACGTTAAGTATTTTCAAACCTATAATAGTGCACCGCAGACTATCCGAAAAGAAATTTGTAATTTTCCGTGTTAAGGTTGTAGTCTGGTAGTTACCGCAGTGAGTGATAAATCTACCAATTGTCATGCTTGTATTAAATACTTTCCTCAAATGTGTACAGTCAAGATATGTAAATAAGTAAAAAGTTTAACGTACGAGTATAACTTGACACCAGAAAGAAATTGCTAGGTGAGGCCTCTAAATTCAAGTAGGTAGGACTTTGGATTTTAAGATAATAAATTGCTCATTAATGTATTGCTCTCAATATGATTTTTACAGATGTTAGGACTATTTAGTTATTCATTTCTAAATATTATTAGTATTCGAATAAAAAAAGTATACATAAATAATATTAGTGCACCTTACCACAAAAGTATCACAAACTTGAACGTATTGAAAAATAGGAATATTAATATAAATTAATAAAAAAAAATGTTTGACTGATATGTAATTCATGCACACGTAAAATGTTCGTATCAAATAAAAAGTATGCTCATTTGGACTGCAAATTACAACCTAGGTATACTCGTATTTACAATAAATTTTACTCTAAATAAAGACTTCATTACTAAATGCGTGCGCCGTATGATAATCTAGTTATTGCATACGAGCAACATACATTTTTCAGGAGCGGGAAGGGCTTGTCAATAGTTAGGTCGGCATTCCAGAAATTTACCCATTATGACGTCTCTCTTATCTTACTTAACACATTCTAGGAATTTATTTACTATTTACAGACTGTAATATTTAACCATGGAAGAACCAAGTTTTGGCAAATATGGACAGGCTCGACCGGAGCGAAACCACGGTCGTGCGGTCTCACACTTTCGTTACGTTTTAAAGAGTGAAAACCTCCTCCCCTAAGTCTTGAGTACCGCACTTTATCTTTTCTGTTGTAAGTGTCGATGGGCGGCAATAGACACTTATCATCTGGTGATCCATCTACGCGTTTGCCCTCTATACCATTATTTTTTTTAATTAAAAATAAGAATCATCATCAACAGCATCTAATAGTCTACTGCTGAACTTAGCGCTCTCTTTAAAAAGGAGGTTTTGGCTTACTGTACCACGCTGGCCAGAGGGGTTGGTATAGGGTTTGTGTCAAGTTTTTATTCTCTTTGCAGTTCTGTTTGCTCCCTTAGTCGAATCATATGACACCCACGGGATGTTAAAACTCCGTATTTTTAATCTGTCACCACACGGATTAGAAATGTATATTTTGAAAAATATAATGTAATGAAAAATAAGAATGACTCAAAGATAACATACCTCAAGCATACGTTTGGTGAAATTAGTTTTGTCTAGATATCTTTGAGCATCATCTCGTGCGGTAGCGTATTCGTCTAAAACACGTAATTATAATTTAAAATGTAAACAATGACTGGCCTGTTGGTCTCTTGGTTAGTGACCCTGACTGCTAAGCTGGAGGTCGACCCTGACTGCTAAGCCGGAGGTCGTGGGTTCGATTCCCACTTAGAACAAATGTTCTGTGATGAGTATGATGTTTTTTCTGTGTCTTTAATATGTATGTATTTAGAAACTAATAAGCATGTTTATCAGCAGTCTGGTTATCATAGTACAGACTCTGCCTAGTTTCGGATCAAGACGGCCGCGTCTGAGATGTCCCAAGTTATTATTATTATACTATAAAACCTTTCAGTTTATTCTACATAATGTGTTTACAGTACCAAATATTCATCTGTCAATTTTTTTCTACAAAGATTTCTACACTGCATTTTATAATCCCAAAGTCGTCGATATAGCGTTTCTTTTACATTATATCTTTTCATTAAATTAAGTATTTATATACATGGAAAGTTGCAGTTGAACTAGGTGACACGTGCTTATTTAATTAGTTTAGTGTAAAATAGAAATTCAATACAGTTTCTATTGCACTTGCACTGCCTTTATATCAATATGCACTTCAACACTTCGTGAGGAGAATTGATTAGTTGAGGGTATATTGTGCGAGTTACAGCTTTACAGAATATAGTCAAGGCTATTTTATGAGATTTTCTGGATAACTGTTAGATGGCAAATAAAAGCGAAGAAAATCAGCCGATTTCATATAAAATGCGTAAAGCGTGTGTGTAAAGCGCTGTGTTTGTGCAAAAAAAAATGAAAACCCATTAATCTATTTATTTTTTATAAGTAAAATGTTTTAACGTGACTTAGGCGAAGGTTACATAGGCGATTGTTGTAACATAGGTACCGAATTAGATCTGAGACAAATTAAAAAAAAGAGAAAGAGGATGACGTCTTAATACGCTCTCCTATTATACCTCACTTTCATATATCTCATTTTCACACAGGATATGGTGTTTTTATTTTTATTTTCATCTGTTATTATTTATATTTCTTCTAAATTTGTATTCTGCCATAACTTCTTAAAAATAAAAAAGTGAATTAATATCTTCTAGAAAATAAAAAGCTATACATTTACATAGGTGTAATATTAAAAGCTGTGATAAGTAATAAAGCCCTTAGAAACATCGTGCCTTATAGTCTTAAGTAACATAAAATATTAATTTGGTTTGCGGGTGTTTATTTATTCTGAGTAATCTCTTTAGATAAGTGAGTTAATGACGCAGGTAAGGAAGTACACGAGCTTGTCATACTTATATTTATACTAAAGTTCTTTTGTCATTAATTATTCCGCAGTTTCCCCGAGTGGTTAATCTATAATCTTCCTAAAGAACTAAGCTATTAGTTGCAAAAGGTTTTTTTTTTATCTGACTGATAATTACTCCCTCACAGATGATCACAGGATGGACATTGTGGTGTGCAACCTCGGTTCCTTCGAGCTATATTGCATAGCTCGGAGGAACCGAGGTTGCACACCAATCCGCGAATCCCGTTTTATATATAATGCTTTTAGTATTGTTTACCCGAGTGGGAAAAGGATGGTTTGAAAGAAACTATCCTTTTCCCAATTTTATTGACCTTCTTCTTATGCCCCTTCTGAAATTGACTAGGTACATTCCCGGGTGACTTCTGGTCAGGCAGGCAGTAAATCATTACATCAACAGTCTTTAATAGTCCACTGCAGTCAGTAAATAAACCAACCAAAAGTTTAAAATGGACAAAAAAATATGAGGAAGTTAAGAAGAAAGTTTATTTTTGTAGATGCCCAATACCTTATAAAGCCAACTTACTGTCAATTTTCTCCATAGACTGGAACAGTTCTTGTGCTTTGTATAACCTCCAGCATTTAGAATCTCTTTCTCTTTGAAGGAAGATGCGTTTGCGTTCATCTTAAGGAATAATAGGTAGAATTTTAATTATATAATACAAACATTTTTATAACTGTATCAAGACAGTGTCTATTAATAATATATGAGACAAGTATCCAGATACAAATGTTGAAGTAATGTGAGTGTATCGTATTTAAGATTTTTTTTGACATTTCTGACTCTTAATGTGTCTGTCGCAGTGAAGGTACATTTAGAATGATAACACCACGTTCATTTAGGGCCAGCAACCCGAGTTACACCCAGGATCCGTAGAAACAGGTAAGTAAATATTGTCAAGGCGATCAACCTGTTTTATTATGCGTAATGCGTAAGAGATGCGCGTCCCTGGTACGCAGGGTGCGGGGCAGCACCAACAGCATTCTAAAAATGATCGCTAGCCGAATGGATTGCGCGATCGTGAACCGGTGTTGCAGACTTTCTGCTGGACCTGCAGCATAATGCATAATGTATGTGCCATGTTAGGTACCGGTTCATGTCATTGTATTTCGCTGTGTTTTTATTTTTCATTTACTAACATAGTTATAAGTCAAATTGTTACTAACACTATGAGTTTTGTTACTCGATACGATATGAATAAATAAAAAAAAAATAAATATTAATGTTTGCAGAGCGATATACTTTTTAGGCACTATGTCAGATCCTCGTAAGGCAGAGTGTTAGTGTATATCTGTTCTATAATATTAAAGAGTATCTAGTAGTCTTAAATAGACCAGATTTTGAGAGGTTAGGTTAGGTTTTAATGCCAAATGTCAGATATTTAGATTTGGCAAATCTACATTTCATAAGAGGGATTATATGTTAGCCGGTGGTTATCTTGTACGTGCGATTTTATGCTGCGTTAATGTTTACTCCCATCCCATGTTCAGCCTTAAATTATAAAAACTGTGTGAAATTAGCCATGGCGAATGATTTGCCTTGTCCTAATTTTATTTACACATCTCATTTACATAAATTAGTAAGAGCATAAGACCAAGTATTCTTAGTTCGACAAACTGAGTAGTAAAGATAGACTGAGTATAATAGTTATTCAGTTATTACATTGGGTGTTAATCGTAGAAGCCTTATGGCAGTAAACATGGCAGCTTTAGGCATTATGTTTGTGTTATTCAATCAGTAAGTTTGAATGTCATTTGTGTTGACTTCATCGTATTAAAGTGAAAAAGAACATCGAATATGCTTTTTAATCAAACTTATAAACATTTATATTTTTTATTTTTGCCACCAAAAACAACTTTACATTTTATTTTTATTATATGCCTATTATTTTTCGGCCTATAAAAAAAGGTATAAAATACGACAATACGTACGAATAAATTTTATAGTGCCTCATCGCTGTCCACTGTGCAACTTGTTTAAAGGCCTTAAAAGTCGACTTATTGAAAGTGATAATACTTTTAAAATGTCTATTATGCTTTATATATTTATATACACGCTATAACAGAATTCAGGATTAGAGTGGACTCCCTACTCTTCGTCAGGATTTAGCCATTTTGGCAATCTATCGTTGAAAATGTATTCAAGTAGTGGCTTGATATCCAGTGTTGTTGATATGAGGACGAATCGGAGGAACCGTCTAAAAGAGTGTATTTTAAAACCACTTGTTAAGAAAATCATTAAATTACCTGTAAAATCAAAATTAACTACCGTTCTAGCACTGAATGAAAAAAATAAATGAAACCAAATTTTGTATTTCATGTTATTTGTGTTCCAAGATTTTACGTTTGTTTGGTCTTATCCTTCGTGTTTCTTATCTGCCGTCGTAAAATATGAAATTCAATTATTTTTATAAAATCATAATAAAAAATGAATTGCGGATGGATTTTGCTAGCAAGAATTAAAGATGATCGAGATATAACTAGAAAGTCATGGAATAACTTAAAAACTAAGAATAATGTACTGTTTTATTATCATTGCTTGTTTCTTAAGCTTAAGTACAGCCGATTTCGATGAAATAACAGACGATATTAAAAATTACTATGGCAATTTTTGTAAGTATCATTTTAAAATATATTTATCAGGATGTCGTAACTTGACAGAAACCCTATCAGAATCCGTCTAGCCAGCGTGGTATGGTAGACCAAAACCTTATTTCTAAGAAGAGGCCTATGTTTAACAGTGGGCTATTAAAGGCTGTTGATGATGATGATTATGAGTTACTTTTGAACATCATAATTATTATGATTAAAAGTGGTGACGTCGGAAATGCGAGGTAGTAAACGCCAACTAAGTATTGCCTCTATTACTCACGCTAGCTGAAAAAGAAAAAAGGGACCACCAAAGAGGCTTTGTTTGAGTAAGTTCAGTCACCTCATTTACTGAGGACTACTACACTACATTTATTGATATCCAAGGCGATCGCAGTTGACCTCTGTTCGTTTGTTCCCCTATGCCATTTAAGAAGAAAAAGGATACGGCATAAATTCTTATTACCTTGAATTTGAGTCCATGCCAAATTTCATTAAAATCGGTTCAGCGGTTTGGCCATAACAACATGACAGACAGACCGAGAGAGTTACTTTTGCATTCACATTATTAGTAGGATAAAAGTGCAATATGTTCTTTCAGCTGCCGTAAGGAACATGAGGATAGTATGGGATGATCACAGAGAAGGTATAGAACATAGCTTAGCATATGTAAGTATACATTTTCACAGCACGGTTATCATGAAAACTGTTAAAACTGAGAGATATGGTATAACAAATAGTTCCAATATTTCTGGTGACCTACTGAGATTTGGAATAATTTTGCTCATTTTATTGCATCTTGTTGCAAATTTTAACTTGAAATTGTGAAATGATAATCTTGAATGAAATCTCATGTGAAAATTTTAGTATTAAAATGTAGGAGTGTAGAAAGTTTAAAAGTGCTAAACAATAGTGTTTAAGATTTAAAAACTAAGTGTAAACACAGTCAAATGATGCTACGAGCATATTATATAATGTGGACCGGTCATGTTAAGGAAACTCTATACAATGATAGTTAAATTATAATAGCCCTTTATATAAAACTATAATATTCAATTTTTAATGAGTTATGGTTGAAATTCAACCTCTAGGCAGTCTCAATTTAAACTTTTTCTACACATGGAACCTTCTAAGTTTTATAATACTGTAATTAAAGTGACTTCGTGACGAAAATGTGTTTTATAGTTTGGCATAAAATCGACCTTTTAGCAACAATTTGCGGTTTGCCTCTTAATGAAATAAGTATATATATATATATATATATTCTTACCTTGAAAATGACTAACTTCCGTCCCTTATTTAGATTACAACATAAAAAGCATCTGCTGTCAAAATTGCAAGTTTGTAACCACAGAGGTTTAGGTTCTGCGTTGGTATCTGTAAGGCAGAGCAAGTAATTTTATAGTTATAAATATATGATAATAGTGGCCTTAGCGTTCACATAACTTGTTTTACACAATTTTTTCAACCTTGCAGACTATGCAGCAAACTATTGGAAAAAAAGGATTAAATGTATTTAAAACGAAAGGAACTGTTTTAAGATTGACCAGGTCATACTATCAAGAGCAAGGAGCAGTGGGAGTGTTAGTACTTTTCTCATCTAATTGAATTGGCTTCGTAGCAATAAACATAAATAGATAAATTATAATCGATTGATTTTAAATGGGTAAATAATAACTTGTATTACGAGTAATAACTCACTAAAAAATAGAACTAAAATTGATTACTTTTGTTTATTTCAAAATCGCTGTCCAGTTGCATGATGTATTTAAAAAGTGAGCTTGAAGTCCACTGACAAAAAATACTAGTAAAAACTAAGTTCAAGTGAACCACATAACCACGTAGTTATCCAGATAACACTTAGCTGGATAACTATGTGCTGTTGCGCAAACTGCACTAAGGATTGTCTAGTGAAATCTACAAGGATAACATACATGTATTTCATTAAAGATTTTTCCTAATTTTTATATATCTAAGCAATTTAGAAGCCGGGAAGACAATAAGAATTCAATCCTTTTTTCTTCCCCTTCGTATCTGCGGCTCCTTGGGAAGGCGTTTCCATTAACATCCACCCGACAGCTTCCCTTATACGCCCTACTCTGAGGAGGACACGGACCATGTGATTTCAAGATCCCGTCCGATTTGACACTGCGCCTATCCAGGCCCCCTTCCAGAGGAAGCCGCAAGCTTTCCCCTGCCAATCGGCCTAACCATCACACTGAGGCCCGATCGCGTTTTTATGAGATCTATTTGTTTTATTACTACTTTACCATTTATGTTATTAATTAATTGGCTGTGGAAACAACCAATTTCACAACGTATATTATTTCCAGACTCTTCCAGAACTTAAACCTAATCAAGCTGCCCCATTGCTGGTTGCCTGATGCAGTATTATCAGTGGCATCGAATGTACTGAAAATTGAAACGATCCTATCTAAGATGATAATAAATGCAAATTATGTATTGTTGAGGAATAAGTCTGATATAATCGAGAATGTAGTGAGCCAAGACCCTTTCAAGACTTCACCGTTTTTATTTAAACAGGTTCATAACCTCGGCCATGTTACGTAAGTTTAGTCCTTTTATAAATTTCTCAACTGTACATTCATGAGCAATATACATTTTGGTTTTTAATAATATATAAGTACTTACAAAACGAGAACACAATTTTGTAATGTTAGTTACTGACGACCACCGCTTATCGTGACCAGCAATAAAATATATATATTTTTAAATATAAATAACTTATTTTCAAGTAACAATATTGCCGGTGGCCCCACACTAGGCAAGCTTGTCCTGTGGGTGCCTGATACGCTTACACTTTTCTACATACATTGCTCGGGCGACGACTTAAAAGTTATTTTAACTAAACAATAAGCAAAGTTTAACAGGAACAACTTTACAAACATTTCTATAATTATACAATGCAAACAGAAGTTTAAACAGTGGTAGGAACATAATTTATTTATTTTATTACTAATAAATGTATATTATTTTACATAATATTGGACCATCTGCATACACCCATATACTCGTATATATATACACACACACACACACACACACACACACACACACACACACACACACACACACACACACACACACACATATATATATATATATATATAATTCAAGTTAGTTGGCACCCTTTCAGTGCCAGTTTCTTTAAGGTTTTTAAGTGCCCTTCAGTTCAGACCATAGAGTTATTCCGGTATCTTACACACTGATATATGACATTATGACAGGGTCGAGCTATTATTACCTTCACTTACTTTTATCCACTCTTCATTTTTTCAATGTGTTTCGTGTGTTTTTGCATCTGTACTGTTTTAGGTTCTTGGCTGAGGGGTGTACACTATCAGGTTATCTAATAACGAGATTAAGTGGAGGAAAAATCAACTTGGGACATGACAATTTACAGCTTCAAAATTGTGAATACTCTGTAGAGGTAAGCTAATACAAAAAACGATTTTAAGGAAATCCTCAAAACCTTTTTTTGTGATGTAGTCATTGCATTTTGACGGGCCTGTTGGTCTAGTGGTAAGCAATCCTGACTGCCAAGCCGGAGGTATTACATACAAGACAAATGTTATGTTATGAGCACGATCAATTATTCTGAGTCTGGGTATAATTTATCTATAATGTATGGATTTAGAAATATATAAGTACGTTTATTTAGAAATAAATTAGATTAAAATTTGCTGAGGATATAGAAGCCCTCGAGAAACTATATCGAAGATTTACCAAAATACCCAGAATACTACAGAAACATATGAGGAGCGCCTGGTGATACTGAAACTCACAACTTTAAGGGGTCTTAGAGACCGTAGAGCAATTTATTAATAACATAACATATAAGATCTTCATAAACACTATGATATAAAAAGCTTTAATATCCTATATATTCATCCCGTGGATGTCGTAAGAGCCGATTAAGGGAGCAAACTACGCAAGACAACAGCACTGCAAAGAGAAGGAAAACTTGACACGAACCCTATACCAACCGGTCTGGCCAGCGTGGTATACTAGGCCAAAACCTCCTTTCTAAGGAGACATGATGATGTAAATGTCTATCTAAGAAGACACCACCTGAAGTGTGTGTGCGTATCAGCTTTTCCAACAAAAATCCTCCAAAATACTTTTATCAGTAACAGAGTGGTAAGAGCGTATAACAAGCTCCCGGAATATATGTCAGCTAAAAGTACCATTTAGTTTGAAAACAGACTGGACATTAATATTGCCTTACACTAAAGGTAAAATAAAATAAAGAAACTGGATACAGGCGTTATCAGTCATAAAGACTGCTTGCTTGATAACGAAAGCTAGCCAGGTCAGTCTATGGATGGGTCAATATTAACACATATTAACCCTTTTCTTCCTTTTTTTTTCTGTGCGGAAATCCCCTCGGATACCACCCACCGTGGCTATGTCAGAATCGAACCGACTAAAAATCGCACGTCGTCTCGATTACCAGTAGCCGGGGAACCAGGTGTACCCTACGGCGCCTGAGTCGTCTGCGGTACCTGGCCCGTGCCCGAGCCGGGCGGGCCGGGATAGTTCTAAACCTCTCCCGGTCCCGCTACGCCATCTCCTTGGCATACATAACTTGCTCGCAGAAGGATACGGCAGAGTTCTCTCTCTTACTCTTGCTTCGTACCATGGCCGCAATTATGTTTTCGAGCGAGAGAACTCCCACTGGCTCCTTGCGAATCAGACACAGGTGATACCCGAAGCATTTTTTTCCAGTGACGTTCAGACGTATTGTACTAGACTTGAAGCCGACCCCAACCTAGTTTGGGAAAAAGGCTGGGTGGTAGGTCGGTAAAGTGTGGGCATTATTAATACGTCTCTGTTTATATAAGATATATTTTATTCTATTATCGTATCGTATTGTATATAATATTCTGTTTCATCGTCCTCCCGGACTGAGTGTATTTATGTATATTTATCTATACTCTTTTTAACTGTCTAGCTCTTCGAAAGTAATGAGCTCTTTACTATTCGTTGAAGGGGCTTTCAATAAATTTAATAATGAGTGGTGATGATGATGATAATGTAAATGAACTGCGTAAGTTTTGAATGATTACATTGTAACCTCCGTGCACCGTGATTTGGCAAAGGTTGACTAGAAGAGAATGCTTTGTGCATTAAGTCCACCCATGTACAGAAGAGCATAAAATTGTAAAAATAATAAATAAATTAGTAAATACTATTTTTTTTTCTTCCAAGATTTATAAGAAAAAGAGGGGGGACCCACCCGTTATAGCTCGTTTTGCTGACCAAAATGCTGGAAATAGTAAGTAAATCTTTTCGAGTCTACATAACATAATATTAAATACACATCTAAAAAAAACACTAATGGAAAGCTACGTTGTCATCGAGTATCATAGGCTACCCTTTTCCGCGATAAGAAGGCGGGCGGACCCGCGGCCAAAAGCTATATGCCTATATGGTAGTCCACGTTGATCTAGAATCACGAAATTTGGCAAAAAGAAGAAAATAACGTCTTACAACACAAATAAAGGAATAATTCCAAAAAATAAAAAGTAGAAAATTAAGATAAATTGTGGTAAGTACTTACAATTTTTTTCAAAAATCTACGTAAAATCTGGGTAGGTACGGAACCCCTCGAAGCACGAGTTCGACTCGTACCTGACCGGTTTTTTTTGTGAAGAGATCTTTGTTTAGTTTGTGAAGAGAGAAAGCAGCTATAATAATATACATAATAAATGTATTTATTATGAATACAAATTTATAATCCTACAAGAAAAGAGCATACTCCTTCCTCAAAGGCCGACAACGCGCTTGTGACTATCGAGTTCATGGGCGGCGGTAATCATTTTCCATCAGGTGACCCGTCTGCTCGTTTGGCCTTTTATCATAAAAAAAAAATCTATTTTTATTTTGAAGGTTTGGATATCAATCACTACCTGTTAATGACATTAAGAGAGGAATTTGTAACAAAAATACAAGCAGCACTTTTCAGTAATGTAAATACTTCTGCTGTATTTGGAGGAAATCTACAAGCCTATGAGTAAGTTTTGTAATTGCAATTATAATAAAATCACGGTTAAGATATCACTTTTCAACCTCTATAAAGGTATATTACCACTAATGATACCTTAATAACTAAGGTGTTCCCTCCTCGTGAGGTCCTAGGCTAGTGGTAAACTAGGCAGAGCCTGTACCATGGTAACCAGGCAGCTAATAAACATACCTATATATTTCTAAACACATAAATATTATAAATAAATTACACCCAGACACATTACAAATTATCGTGCTCATCATACAATTATTTGTCCTGGGTGGGAATCGAACCCATCTCCTCTGGCTTAGCGGTCAGGATCACTAACCACTAGACCAACAGGCCCGTCAATTTTATCGTCTTAATACGTCGTCACTAACCTATTTTTTTTTTAAAGACAACTCCCTCACTAGGAATATATCCTGTGTCGCGGGTGACTTTACAAACATACATTAAACGGACACAAAGAACACCCAGACTCAGAACAACAATTTGTGAATCACACAGTGTTGTCTAATACTGGGAACGGACCCTCAACACTCAGCCCAGTAGGAAGCGGCGAGGTGACCGCTTAAACCACTACGCCATCCGTGCAGTCAGTAGTAGTATATGTTCTATGACTCTGGCATCATAGCGATTTTACCGATCTAGGAATTGCGTTAGTTGTTTCTTTCTATTAATCTGACCTATGAGCTTCATAATCTTCAAGGGTTGGGATCTTAAGCCGAAATCAATTTTATTTTAAAAGTGTTTGATAATTAAATTTTCGGCACACACTCAATTCCAAGGCCAACTGACGGCCAGATGGCGTAGTGGTTTATGTAATGGACTGCTACGCCAAAGGTTGTAGGTTCAATTCCCGTTCAAGTCAAACATTTTTGTACATGAACATTAAATGTTTGATTTGGTCTGTCTGTTGCTATGATATGTATTTACAAAAAAGTATACGAGTATATTATATTAGTGTTTATATCAGTTCTTTAGCAGCCATAATACAACCTCTGCTTAGTTTAGGAGTAAATGGCGTTGAGTGAATGTTGTAGAATATTATTATTAATTTCATGAGATGATGAGTCGATCCAAAACGGATGAACCAATTACAGTTTAGGTTTATTTGTTTGAAAGGCGATTTCATCGAGAATGTTCCAAGTAATTCAAGAACATTTTTCTAGCCGTTAAAAAACCACAAGCTCTTTTCAATTCATTGGTGAGTTTTAGTCACGGTCATTTTAAATTTTTAATGTATCAAATGTATCTTGGGTGCAGTCTCGAATATTCGATCAAACCAGCGACCAATTCAGTAGTTATTTATTTTGTGGTTAAATCGTTTTTAGATCACACTAAGAAAGTAGGTAAACTGAGGTAAGGGAAATGAGAAGGGTGATCGACCCGACCTAGGCTTATTATCCTTTACCCTATAAGGAATAACTAGTTAAGGGTGGGAAGGTGCAGTTCACCGTATGAAATGGAAGAGACCACTATCGTTGTTTAAATTTAATAAATAATAATCTTTTTTATATATACAGAGAAGAACAAGAGAACATATTCCTCAGGACTTCGAGTAACTTGACCAAAATTATCAGAGATCGAAACAAACGTATTTTAGATATGAATGGGGGATCTGTTAAAATTCCTGATTACCGTATGACTTGGGAGTATTGGGAGCCTACGATACCAGATGCAAGTACAATGAATACAAAATATAACATTTATTATCATCGTCTTTACAGGCTTAGAACGCTCAATGGTAAACAGAGACGTCTCATAAAGCAATTCTAAAATCATTCATTCTTTTAATCACTGCCTACTTAATTTTATTACAATCACATTTTTCGGAAGCGGGAACGCACAACCCATTTGTGTCTTTAGTCGGTGGTGGTAGTATTTTACACTTACTTTACTATTTTACTACGAAAACACCTTTTATGACAGTTGCGAGATCGAGAGTTGATCGGAACTGAATGTTGACCGAACTTTTATTGCCGAACCGAGCAAAGTTGTATTGCCCTCAGGCTTTCTTTTTTTCTTCTTCTCACTTTTCACTTGGTTGCTCTTTTTGTATTATGTCACTTTATACTTATTAAGTCATGTTTATTTTCAGGAGTTTAATAGGCTCAGCTCGATAGAGTTCACCAAAATGGTTCTAACTGGATTGGATACCGCATATAATTCTTACAGTGGTGGCCCCTACAAATTTGACGATCCAATGGTTGGTGAACAGATAAGGTTTAGTAAGCTACAGGTATGCTTTTACATTCATTCGAATTTTAAAAAACCAATGATTTTTGCAATAATGACCAGATGCTATTATTATGCTATGAGGAATCATAGAACGTTTATAGACTCTTGGGCAAAAAGGTTTCTTTTTCGTGTGAATACCTTTTATGATATTCGTGAGATCGAGAGTAGATCGAAACTTAATTTTGAACTAATTTTTATTACGAGAATTGACTTTGAGGTAAAAATATGTGATCATTCGCGACCGGTTAAGCCGCATGTTACTCGTACTTGAAAAATATCATAGCTTTCTGTAGAATATACTACTTTTAATAGTCACCGTTACAAAATTGAAATTCAAAGTCAAAATATCTTTATTTAATAAGATTCTTTAAAAAATACTTGACATCGTCTCTTGAGTAATGACTCTGAATTTATAGGTTAACACATACAATAGCAACAATCTTTTTTGTCAAATATTTAGCAAAACAAATGTTTATAGAAAATCTATTATATGCTCGTGCCCATCTACAACCGCCCGATTCCAAGGGGTTTATGACAACAAAGGGCAAACAAACTCACGGCCATTCTTAACACACTTTTATTAGCTTGGTTTGTATGTACGAGTATGTAACGAAATCTTCGAACGTGATTTATATTCACTTCAAAACGTCGAATTAAATTAACACTTTGCACACTTATAAAGGACAATGCAATAATTTGTCCCATTATCCTGATCAGGACCTTCCGAATTAAAGGCTTTTTCCGTACCTAAAAATACGGTAGTATCTTACGGGTACGGTATAACTTACTTGTTACGTTTTTTAGTCCTAATAACATAATAATCACAATTAATGAGTGAAAATTATTGTTTAAAAAGACAAAAAAAAGCGTTTTGTGTTTTTTAAAGTATTTTATAATATAACAACTTTATTATTATTAATATCTGTCAGTAAAATGTTTTTACAACAATAGAGATCTAGCACCATACGCTTTTAATTAATTAATTTATAGAAAACTATTTCCTACTTTTTTAGTTCGGCTTACAAAAGTGTTTTTATTTAGGTTTTTTAAACTATAATTTATTTTAAATAGCCAATAATTATGATTACATTGTTTACCAATTCCAATTATATAGTTATATATCTATCATTTTAATATTTGTGCAATGCTTCGTGTCTTTTTATAATAATGCACAGGTCCGTGGCGCCGTAGCGTTATCACCAAGTGAAGGTGAAGGTGACGATACTTATAACTTCGCTGTGGAGATAACTGACTTTGCCATTAATATAGAAATTAATATAAATAACGGAACATTCAACAACATTAAAACTGAAGTCGTCGGCTACAGGTCTGCTATAACATATTTTTTTATTGCCTAAATATTAACTTCAAGGTAAAATACGCCGCAATGGAGACGCATTATTATTTTGTGCCCTTTGCGGTGGAGACTTTGGGCAGTTGGGGGTCGGAAGCTAAACATTTCATTGCGGAGATTGGTAGCCGAGTTAGGGATAAAAGTGGTGACTCCCGCTCCAGCTCGTTTCTTGTGCAAGGGATGTCCGTTGCAATTCAGCGAGGCCATGCTGCCAGTATCATGGGCACCTTTACACCGGGAGCGACGCGGGGTGGGTTATATGATCCGACTTGAATTAAAAGAAAAACAAAAATTGTAAGTTAAATGTATGTGATGTATTTATTTAATTTAAATGTGGAGGTAAAATGTATTAAAGTTTAACCATATTCTTTGAAGTCAAGGAGACAAGAAAATTATATTATTTCCAAATAGTTATTAACTACATTATAGTATAGGTATAAAATAGTCCTAGTCTTATTTTCAGGGTGATCTAACAATTAATTATCACAAATCTATCCCAATTCGACGATCCTTACCTTTCCGTAACACCTTGAATATTATCTTTCTTCTACGTACGACTTACACATAAGTACGTCCTTATGTACGTAAGTCTAGAAGAAAGATAAATTCTTAAATAAAAAGAAAAAGATTTTTAAAACTTACTTACTCATGTTTCGTTGTATTGTTAATTGTCTATATGGGGCGCTCAACGACAAAATCCTTGTAAACGATTATACACGTATGTATTGTATAAAAGTGAACCGCTATTCGTTAGTATCGCTAATACTCGAGAACAGCCACTCTGAGTCTAAATGCGGAAACCGAAGCCCACAACCAATACCAATACCAATACTCGAGAACAGCTATACCATACGCTTTTTGGCTATTTTCAATCTTGAAATATTTGTGGAAGTTTAGGGAAAGTTTAAACGGTGAGAAAATTTTGAAAAAAATGTAAAATAGGAAAAACATCAATTTAATTTTCCCATACAAAATGTTCTTAACAGTCGAACATTTGATGTTCGTCCCGTCGCGTTGGCGTCGTCACGACAAACACAAATCTCCTCAAATTAAAGAATATTTTAAAAAGGGTTTTGAATTGACAACATAATTATGTGTATATTTATTCAATATTTGGATTATCGCGTATTTGGATTTCTAGATGCAAATACTTGTGCCAAATGTTGATTGTAGAATATTTGGGGGTTCGTTCAAAAAATTATTTTGTGACTAAACTTAGAAAGAGATACCAAGCCATAAAAAAAAACAGAAATAAATTTCAAAAGGTTTAAAAGTTGATCTGACATTAAATAGTCACAAATTTATGCGCTGATTTCAATAATAGATTTATTGAAATCAGCGCATAAATTTTTATGATCAATACATTCGGTTTTATAAAAAAGAGATATCTATATATAAACAGTTGGAGGTGATCATATAGTATATTATGTAAAAGTTATTACCTTGGGTTGTAAATACGCACCAACTTCGATAGTCAGTAACGGTAAACAGTATAGTCAAAAATATCAAAGTATGTGATACGAAAGTACAGCGGGCTATCTAGTAATTTCTATCCAGTAAAATCTTTCTTTAGCCAAACACACGATGACATATTTCTATAAAACATATTCTTACTTCTTCTAATTTTTAATGATTTCTTAATTATTCTGACTGCCAAATACAGTCATTCAGTCTTATATGTGTCTTCCTTTAATTATTTTTAATGCTCTTCAGGAATATAGAGTTCATGCAAGAAGATATTATTATGGGACCACTTCAAACACTTATAACTGGCTATTTGAAGAATGAAGTGCCTAAAGCCATTATTGAAAATATGGATTTCCATAGTAAACCTGAAAACATGAAGAAGCTTACACAAGTCATTGGGAACAAAGACGGCGTTATGGGTTCTCTTGCAATGTCAGGTTTGCTGAATAATTAAAATTGTAGGTTAAAAATGTATGCGCGTATTTCCAAACCGTACAACAGTAGATTCACGGAGAGATTCACGGCTTTCTATAAATAATGGAAAGAGCAACAGAGCTGTACAAGCATTTCATGGCACAAAATAAAGTCGAAAATAGTTTTATTGATAAAGGAATATCAACTATACTAACTTTTAAACTTTCGCGTTCCATGATAATTAATATTATTTAACGGGAATTAACGCGATCTCTTATTTAGGGTATTACATGCCGGCCGTGGTCACAGGCTGAGTCAGCCTGTGACCACGGCCGGTGCAACCTGGTCGAAACGTCAGGCAAACCAGAGGTATGTAATACCCTAAATAAGAGATCGCGTTAATTCCCGTTAAATAATATTGAATATCAACTATGATTTTAAATTAAATAGGCAAATTGTGACCACCGCCGAGATATTGTGATTTCTTCTTAATAAAATGTAATTTTAAAAGCAACTAACTCGAACATCAAATTGGAGAATTTACATATTTCGTACTGATTAGAATGTGTCAAGATCGTTTAATTCAACTTTTTTGTTTTTGTTTCCACTAGAGACTAGGCGTCTCTAGTCGACTTTAGTATATATTATAATAATAATAATGTATTTTTTGTTCACAATTAAAGTTTACAAACATAATTTCATGGTTGTATATTACAGTAATCACAAATAATGCACTGCTGATACTTAAAGGAAACCCTGTGCTATAAGTACCAGCCACTCTTTTATGGCACAGTTTGGTAATAATGCTCCCACAGACACACAATTTTACCACAGAACATTAGAAACAAATTCTGTGGCCATAACCGTTCAATAAAAACACGAATAAAACTAATTGGTTAGTTATTGAAATTATATAGACATATATTTATGACTCATAGTTTTTTCTTGTTTAATTCTCAGGGACTGGCAGCGAAACAGATGAATCGAATTTTCTTAAATTAAATGAATAAATCGACACTCCAAAGAAATAAAAATGTACTATACTATTTCTGACCTTTTACTGTTAACATGTACTGTATACAACATAACATTTACGGTATTTATGGGTTGGGATTCGGGATATGCGATTTATATACATCTATACGATTTTTCCAGATTTTATATGCGGAAATTGCGATTTTCCTTATTACAATTTTATTTTTGGTGAAATTTATCCTGTTTTATTTACTAGACAAATAACGAAATACATTGTTAAAATTAAATTCTTTATTTTGATAAAGTAATAAGTATTATTGTAAAATATTTCAGCAAAATTTCTAGTTAACGTGAATACAGGTTTATTATCGTGAATTTTAAGGTATACATTTTCTATATTGTACTGTTGCAGTTATCACCCGGGACATAATTTTTATCGTAAAATAGAACGCGTAACTACATGTAACGCACAATCTTAATTTGTGGTCAGTGCCTCCCTTTTTCCCCTTCCCCTTCTCTTTTACGTGAATCACACGTTAACTTGATGATACAAAATACAAAATTCATTAATACAAATTAGAATATTCATGGTTTCACTCTTAAACGTTCGCGTCATTATTTTAAATGCTAAAAAAATATATTTTAATATGGCTTTTCGACCCTGAAGCACGCCTTACAGAGCTTGGGTTTGAAATTAAATCTTACAAGGACTAAAACTTGAATCAATGACCGTTTCATTTTGAAGTGAGATGTTGCCATTATATAAAATAAACTATAAATGTTTTAATGCAAATAATCATCGTTTTAAAATAAAATGGTTAAATATTCATATCCGTGATATTAATTCAGTCACATTAAAATATATTGAAGTTTAGTAATCTTATTATTGTACGTAATCGTAGTTTATTTAACGAATGAATAATTCAGTACTAGATTCGCCTTAAATTATACATGGTATCGCTGTCAAAAACATGATGCCACAAATGTTATTAAAAAAAAATCTAACGTCAGTGTAACAATATTTTTTCGTTGCTGTTTTCGTCAAATCAAATCACATCAACAGCCTTTAATAGTCCACTGCTGGACATAGGCCTCTCCTTAGAAAGGAGGTTTTGGCCTACTATACCACGCTGGCCAGACGGGTTGGTATAGGGGTTTGGGGTGCTGGGCTAGAAAACCTCCTCGTGGTGCACCCTGGAAACGCTGACGATGGTACTGTTCCCTCCTTGTCCTCTTGGAGGAGAGGATTATCGCCAGCGGCCAATATTCTAGCAGAAGAGGCAGCCGTTCATCGGCTCTCGGGCAAGGCCTGGTCCAGCAGGGTGGGCGTGTCTGCCGGTTGCCCTGCTGGCTCTTCGCTCTTCGGAGCATGGAGGAGGAAACCTCGGTAAAAAACCTGATGGCGGGGCCCTGTAGGGGCCACAGTTTCTCCGCTGATAGCGGTGGAGAAAGGAGGACGGGCTCGGCGTGTACTGACACTACCACCGAGCAGGCAGGGGGACGTAGTCTCCCTGTCAACCGTCGGCATATCGCAATCCCGAGAAGAGCGCTGTGGTTAAGTCTCGCGGCTCTGATCGGGGGCGAGGGTCTTGGCTTAACCGCCCGGACCGCGAGGAAGATAACCTCTCTAAAAATTCCCCGAATCCCGTGTTCTGGTGCGTGGCCAGGGGATGCATGGCTGATGGGAAGTTCAGTCGCGAGCGCACTCCAAGCCGAGGTACCTGCGGACCCCTCGGTTGGGTTAAAAACTTACGCTTGCCCGGGTAATGGGGGATCTCTGCCCGGGTGGACCTTTAGTTCTCCCCCACTCGTGGGATTTATCATGGAACACATAAAGTCTAACCAAAACAAAAAACGAACGGAAACAAATATACAACGAAAACAGGCAAGCAAAACGGACTCTGAAACGAAGGGTGCAAAGGTGAAGAGGAATAGTGGAGCGGATGGGTCGTCCACTGAGGGCGAGATGGTGTCGGGAACGCCTATCTCGATGGGGCTCCCAGAGGTCAGTCTGACTCTGGTCACTGGGAGCCGAAGAGCATCGGATCGGCTGCGTTCCGGATCCGCCGCTTCATCGGATGGCGCGGAGGCCATGGAAGCGGAGCGGAGCGACAGCCGGAAACGCGGACGCTCAGGGGACGTGGAAACCGACACGTCCGGCGAAATGATGCCACCAAAGGTGGCAAGCAGCCGCCGAGGGAGGGCGCGCAAACCGGCCTCGGTCGCGATCCCGTCAGGCTCCGCGTTCTCCAACGCGGAGTCGTACAGGAACGTACGGGTGGACGGCGAGGCCGTAGCGGAGGAGGAGATCGCGGATCTCCTGCTCAAGGTTCGGGAGCCGGTGGGGGGAAATGCCCCCCATGCTCCCGTGTCCGTGCAGGAGAGGGCGAAAGCGGCGGTGGCCGTCATCGACAAGGTGGACCAAATCCGTGAACCTTAAGGGCTCGTTTGTGAGGGCCCTTAAGGACTCCTCCTCCGCTTTGTCGGAGGTCGTGGAGGGCCTAGCGGGCGACGTCTCTCGCCTGCAGGTGGCCAACGAGAAGCTGACGGAGCGGGTGAACGAGCTGAGCGCTCAGTTCGCCCGCTTCCAGGCGAACCTCCCCGAGCGGGAAGCCCCGTCCGCGTCCCAGCCTGCCCCTACCACCAACTCAGGGGCATTTGACTCCCAACTGCGAGAAATCCTCATCGCAGTTGGGAATATGCTGGACGGACGCCTGGCTGGCCTGGAGGCGAGACTGCCCCATGCGCCGATTATGCGCCCCCCGCTCGCGTCGGCACAGCGGCCTAAGGCCGCCGCTCCGACCGCGCTCCCAGTAGTGGGAGGCCGCGTCTCCTACGCGGCGGCGGCGTCTGCCCCGACTCCATCGGCTCCCCAAAAGCCGAGGAGGGGGGCCAAGGCACCGGCCCAGGCGCCGGCCAAGGCACCGTCCCAGGCGCCGGCCAAGGCGCAGGCCAAAGTGCCGGCCAAGACGGGGCCTAAAACGGCGCCGAGGAGCGGAGTGGCATTCCCTCCGCTCCCCACTCCGACACCCCTGCCGGGCCCCTCCGCACCTGCCCCCCTCCAACGAGGGCTGGCAGGAGGCGAGGGGCTCCAAGAAGTCCCGAAGGCGGGCCAAAAAGGCTGCCAAAAAAGCAGCCCAGGCCCAGCCTTCGCCACCGGTGGCAACGGCCTCCACAAAGAGGCCGCGGAAGCTGCAGCCGCCCAAAACCGCGGCTGTAGTGGTGACCGTGTCCCCGGAGGCGGCGGACGGCGGGCTGTCCTACGCGGCCGTGTTTAAAAAGGCCCGGGACAGCCTCTCTAACGACTTTGGAACGGTGGGGGTCAGGATGCGCCTCGCCCAGACGGGAGCTCGAGTCCTCGAGTTCCCTGGGGCTGAAGGCGCAAAGACGGCGGACTCCTTCGCCGAGAGGCTGCGGGGAATATTTGCGGCCACTGATGGTGTCAGGGTCGCCAGGCCTACCAAGTGCGCGGAACTGCGCATCTCGGGCCTGGACGACTCAGTGACGGCCGAAGATGTCCGCGCTGTAATCCGGGAGAAGACGGGGTGCAGCGCGGACAACGTCAGGGTCGGCACCATCCGCCCCGGTCCAGGAGGGCTTGGCGCCGTGTGGGTCAGCTGTCCCGTAGCGTCGGCCAAAGTATTGGCCGACGCCGGCAGGCTGCTCATCGGTTTCGTGAGCGCCAGGATCACAGTCCTGGCGGCGAGACCGATGAGGTGTTTTAAATGCCTGGCCACGGGACACACGCGCGTCAAGTGCGACAGTTGTTTTGACTGCGGCGGACTGTGTTTCCGCTGCGGTCAACCGGGGTATTAATAAAATGACCGTGTGCATTCAAACGACAGACTTACAAATTTATTTAAAAGTCACATTCCAAACATGGTTATGCTACATGAACACAGATGTCGCACCTGTAGCATACATGAACCAATCACAACATTTTGATATTCCTACATAATATCAATACCCCCACTATATCAAAATGTTATACAGTACAAATACAACCTACTAAGACACAAATTAAATACATTTATGTTGCACCCCCATCAGTTCCAAAAACTTATAATGTTTTATGCAGCTTTAAGATTTTGTTAGAACATCTGCAGCCATATCAGCTGTTGGTAGGTACTCTACTTTAACAATGTTCTTATAAATACACTCTCTTCCAAAATGATATCTAATATCTATATGTTTAGATTTACAATGAAAAACTGTGTTATATAATAACTTATGGGCACTTTGATTGTCATTAAATATAAGAATAGAATCAGAGCAACCAGTTATTTCTTTATACAAATTTCTTAAGTAAACAGCTTCCTTACAACTTTCGGAGATACCAATATATTCTGCTTCTGTGCTAGACAGTTAAGCTTTTTCCCAAAAATTAATTTGCCCTTTTTTTCTTACTCCCCAAGAAAAAAATTTACACCTTTTT